AGACTCTTTTCGGAAAATGTCGACTCTATCTACACAAAAATCGCGTATGGAGGAATGAATGTTTTTATGTATTTATTTCTATACCCGGATTAATGATGGGGGCCCCCTTCTCCTCCTCCCCCCGAAATAACTTTTTTTTTTTTTTTTTTTATTCATTTTCACACAGTGTGGAATAATAAAAAAAAATTTTTGCGAAGTAAAATAACACGTCGACAAATCTTTTATACGATGTTAAAGAAAAAGAAGACATGAAGAGAGAGAGAGAGAGAAAGAGAGATAGAAAGAGATAAAGAGATAAAGAGAGAGAGAGAGAGAGAGTTTTTTTTTCTCTTTTCATCTCTAGGATTACTCAATAATAAAAAAACTTGAGGAACATGTTTTTTAACCTGAATTCTGTGTACCGTCCCGACCGATTTTTTCTTACTTTGACTTCTTTTCTATCTCTTCCTCAGGTACGTACCTTCTTTCTCTCTCTCTCTCTGGGTTTTAAATGCACAAAATTTTTCCGGAAAAAAAAAAAATTTCACGACGTTGCTAACAGCAAAAAAAAAAATCATTACGCGAACATACATACAAAACATTTTATCGTAAATTAATAAAAAAAAAAATAACAACAAACAACAAACAACAACAACAACAACAATAATTATAATTATCGGAATCGGTGAAGGACGGCAAAAAAAAAAAAAAAATTTTTAATTCAACGCAAAAACTTGACGAAATTTCATTTCGTAGCGCAAAAATAATAATAATAATAATAAATTAAATTGCGACTAAATTTAACCGTTCGTAAAACAAACAAATCATACGCCAATTTTTAAAATAATAATAATAATAATAATAATAATAATAATAATAATAATAATAATAATAATAATAATAATGATAATAATGATAATGATGATAAAGTTAAGTTTATATGTACATGTAGAAAATTTTAAAGGTCTCGTAATCAAATTAGGAAAAAGTAATCCGTTGGCTTACCTTGCATTTATTCACGTTTTCAGGTTCCTACCTACTCCCCTCCTCCTCCTCCTCCACCTCTCCACTCCCCCCCCGCCATATAAAAGAGACCATATTTTATAAAAAAAAATTGACGTTATTTATAAACAACAACAACAATAACAATAACAATAAACGATGATAATCATTACCTTGATAAATAAAATAAAAATTAATTTTTTTTTTTTTTTTTAAATTTATCCACACTAAAAATATTATTATTATTATTTTCTTTCGCACGCGCGCACGCACACACACACACACCCGACGTTCGGAAAATCCAATTTAAAAATGACGCATTTGAAAATTTTTTTCAAAATTTTTACGTGGCATACATAAACATCAGCTGAGCCTTATATATATATATATATATAAATATTTGAGTGCATTTAAGTTCTGTTGTTTTACGTATTATTATTATCATTATCATTATTATTATTATCATCATTATTATTATTATTGAAAAAAAGAAACATGCGCACTCACCTTTTTTTTTTTTTTTCTTATTCAAATCTTTTTTTCCTCTTTCTCTCTCTCTTTTCCTCCTTCGTCAATGTTTCGTTATATTTCTTTCTCTTTCTTGCATAGATTTGATTCCCCTCTTTATCCCACTCTTCTCTCTCTCTCTCTCTCTCTCAAGGGGCCTGCTGCCTACGACTTTTTCTATTCTTTTCTTTATCTTATTACGATCCTTGTTAAGAATCTTGTCCTTACCTATTTGCCAATTTCAAACACACACATTTACGTACAATATATATAGACGAACATAATAATGATATTTATGTAAGTATTATTTACTATTAGTTAATAACTAAAAAATTTCAATTTTATTTTTTTTCCTATACGCCATTACATTTTCACGCTTTTATTTTTCCCGGACAATATGGAAAATTATTTTTTCGTAACCGTAAAATTTTAAATAATAATAATAATAATAATATTTTAAAACAATACACAAGAAAATTATTATTATTATTATTATTATTATTATTATTATTGCACGAGAAAAATAAAATAAAATAAAAACAATGATTTTAATGTTAACTAGGTAAGTTACGACTGGATGATGACGTAAAAAGAACAACGCAAAACAAAAAAAAAAAAGGAGCAGAAGACAAAATGTCGAAACGGTGAAAATTCCCCCACTCCCCCTCTCTCCCCTCCCCTCCTATCTCTCTCTCTCTCTCTTTTTCCACTCTATCGATTTTACATTGACGACAATGAAGAACGTTTTTGTATATATTTTGTGGTGAATATAAAACATTAAAAATAATAATAATGATGATTTTTTTTTTTAAACCACCATAAGTTGGCATTACTATTATTATTATTATTATTATTATTATCGAGACCTTAAAATTAAAAACCCGCGAATTTTTTAAAATTTAAAATTTAAGTTTGATTACTTAGGTAAGAAATAGATATAGCCTTACGTAACGTTGCCTTGGCAACAAAACTTGGTTTTTCTTAATGTAATGAATGTTTCGGTCTTGACTTTTTGAATGACTGATTGATTGACTGACTGACTGACTGATCACATAGAGAGAGAGAGAGAGAGAGAGAGATTTAATGTTCGTTATTGCCAGGCAGGGTTTTTACGATAGAATTCTTTTTTTTTTTTAATGGATTATTTTTATGACTAAGTAATTAAACATCAATTAATTCACGGTCGCAATGAGAAAAAAAATTTTTTTTATATGTTCTATTGTAAGGAAATATTTGTAACCGATCGATATATATATATACGTCATGTGTCGATATTTATATGTTGGAGGGGAGGGAGGGGAGAAAACTCCATCGATTAGGTAGCTATTGTGACAGATCAAAAAGTCATAATGAGAGAGAGAGAGAGAGAGAGAGAAAACTGATCGTAAAAATTATTGGCGCTTTTCTTTTAAATGAAAGATTAAATTGTTTACTTCCTTCGACAGAAGTGATAAGATTGTACATGTAAAATTATTATTATTATTGGATTGTATAGATATGAATTTTCCGATGATGATAATAATAATAATAAAATCATAAATTGTGTTAAATGTTTAAAGGCCCAAAAAAAAAGTAGTCCTAACATGAAAAATGTTTTTGTAAAGGTCGAGATTTTCCCGAAAAAAAAAAAAAAACGGATTTAAAAATAGAAAGAAAAAGGAAAAAAATTTTCCTAACGAAATGATGATAATGATGATGATGATGATATTATGTAAATGTTATGTAATATTGCATCACATAAAAAAAAAAAAAGTCGGTCAATAAAAAATTTACTTAACTTACATAACGTTGAGGTTGACGTCTGTGGCAAAACAAATTTTTCCTTTTTTTCCTTTGTTCGAACGTTATAAAAAAAATAAAAGAAAAGAACCGAACGTACGTATTTTATACACGAACGGAAATACACGTTCTAACTTGTTTTTCTTTTCTATAAAAAAAAAAAAATCGATCACATTTTAACGAATGAAACCGAAAAAGTAATAATAATAATAATAATAATAATAATAGAAAAATATGGATTTTTTTCCTTTGACTGCCCTTTAACGAATTCAACCCCCCGCGAAATATAAGTAAAAACTAACTCGTGGGTTTTTTACCTGTTGAAAAATTAAAAAAACAAAAAAAAAAAAAAATGAAAATAAAATTTGACTCCTCCCTTTACCACCCACTCACCGGAAAAGTAAACATAAAATGTGTGCAAACCAATCTGACATGCTCCCCGAAAACGTTTTCCGACGTTGCCCCACCTCCCCACCCTTCCCCCACCACCTCGGCCCCCCCCGCCGCCGCTGGCCCCCCACTCCCGTTTTCCTTAAACCGATATATGATAAAAAAATAAAAAACGGATGAGCAAAAAGTCAAAATGCGAAAAAAAAAAATTTTTTTTTTTTTGCTTTTTTTTTGCAACGATAAGTTTTCTTTTTTCTTTTTCCGTTTCCGCTTCTCTCTTCCCTCCCCCCCCATCTCTTCCTCCTCCCCTACCAAAAAAAGGAAAATTTTTTTTTTGTATAACGGAAACAAAAAAAAAAAAAATTAATAATAAGCCGATGAATTTAAAAGAAAACTCGATGGAAAAATTTTTTTTTTGTGTCCGCCGTCCCCACGTCCCCCCAAAGCTGCGCATGCGTGATTGTCAGTCCGATATTACAAATAAAATAAAATAAAAAAATAAAGAAAATTTTTTTGTTTAAACTTATTTACCTTCGTTATGAATTTTCTTTTTTCATTTTTCCCAAAACGTCGAAATTTTCACGAAAAAAACCGGAAAAAAATTTTTGTAAAAATAATCATAATAATAATAATAAAAAATTAAACGTTTCGCTATCGCGTTGTTGTTGTTGTGGTTGTTGTGCTTGGTTGTTGTTGTCTATCGTATGTATAAACCCTACGTACACGCTTTCCCGTCTTTTTCTTACTGAAATTTATTAATGGTTGTTATTAATTAATTATTTATTTTAATTGAAAATTTGCGAGTTTGTTTGTCTGTTTGTGTGTTTGTTTGTTTGTGTGTGTGTGTACGCATGTAATACCAAAGCAAAAAAGGATAGAAAAGAGGAAGAATTTTAATAATACAATCACCTTAAACCTAAATAAATACCCATAACTTATTTAATTAATTTTTTTTTTTTCAAAACAACTAAAGAGAAGAACTAAAAAAAAAAAAAATAATAATAATAAAAATAAATAAATAAATAATAATAATAATAATAATAATAATAATAATAATAATAATAATGAACAATTTACAATGAATAATAATAATTATTGCAACAAATGAATAAATAATCTTTCTCTTAATTTTTTTTCTTTTTTTTTTTTTTTTTCTCTTTTAAATAAATTAAATAAATCATTTTAATTTGTTTTTTTTTTTTTTTTTTTTTTGTTTGACGATTATTTTAAATAATTGAGCTATAAAAATCACTAACTTTAAATAACTGATTATTCTTTCCTCCTCCTCCTCCTCCTCCACCTCTTCCTCCTCTTACTCCTCTTACTACTACTACTATTTTGATTCAATAATATGTTTCTTGTTCCAACCATCCGCCTGGATTTCTACGGAGTAGAAAACGTCGAGCTTCGTCGTATAAGAAAATAGAAAGAGAAAATGGAATTGCTGGAAGCCACCAGACGAACCTAAAAAAGAAAAAAAATTTTTTTTTTTTTTTTTTTACTTGTTGTTACGATAATAATAATAATTTATTATATGAAAGCAAACCGCCACCGGAAGTTATGTTAATAATTAATTACCGGGTATCACCCCGAACGCAGAAATTAGTGATTGTTAGTACCCGTTTCTACCTAATTATTTTTTTTTTAGTAAGTAAATAAATAAATAAATAAATAAAGTAAATTTTCTCACGATGTAAGGTTTGGATTTTTTTTAATAATATGTATTTTTTTCGAGCCATCCTCCGGGACTTCTTCGTAAAACATAACGTCTTCCTTCATCGTACATAAATATCATAAGTGAAAATGGTATAGCAATAACCCACCATACCGGCCTATAAGTACATTTTTTTTCATATACACCCGTTATTATCATTATTATTTTTTTAAAAAAAATTTTTTTCGATAGTTTCGCCTCCTGTGACGTTTCAATCAAAAAAACTTACTTGAGTGGAAACATTCTCAATCCTTTTTCCATTCCCGGAGTGTATGATAAGAAAGCAGCCAAAATCGTTTCGAAAACCAAACCGAAATTCAATGCCCAATTCCTGTAAAATCAAAATAAAGATTTTTAAGAGTAAAAAAAAAAAAAACGTGGAAGAAGAAAAACTATTAATTCCCTCATTAATTATCGACCGAAAAAAATTTAAAACCTATAATTGTACATAAAATATCGTGCCTAATATCCACATCCAAGGTTGGCGGAAATTTAAAACCAGGTAGTCACTCAGTCAGTCAATCGAGTGGTTGATTTAAGTATTAAAAACTTGGTATGGGGGATGTCAAGGACCGAAATTTTCATCAAGAGTAATACAAATAAATAAATAAATTGCAAATTGAATAATAATAATAATAATATTAACTCTCTTCACAATTCAAGAGCCCCCCCGCAACCACCGCCACCTTTTCCCTTCATTCTCATTACTTCTTATGTGATTCTACCTACGCTCGCGAAAGGATACAAATTAGACTCAAGGTTAACGTAAAACCTAAAACAGAAATAATTATTATTATTATTATACGTAAAGGTCGACAAAATCAAATTTTTTTATATATTACGATTAGAAAAAAAAGGAAAATTCATCGTGGTTACAACGTGTAATGACGACAAATTTCCCCAATGCGAATCAACCATTTCGTCATTACTATTATTATTATTTTCTTATATAAATAAACGGTCAAATGCGGCGGCGGTGGTACTCGACGATAAATAATAAAGAGAAACGTGAAAAAAAAATTATTATTATCATTAATCGCGCTTACGCACACACACACACCAACCTCGTTCTATTCAAACATCAATTAAAATCTTTTTTTTTTTTTTTTTTTTTTCGTACAGCCAAAAATCTTTTATATTATTAAATACAAACCTTGAAAAGTCAAGGTGGTTTGTTAAAAAAAAAAAAAAATAGACAATTTTAAGTCTATCATTGACCTTCGAAAAAAAAAAATAAGTATACGAGAGTAATACGAATTGAAAGAAGAAAAAAAAAAACAAAATGGCAAATCATGATGTTGTGTGCGTGTGTTTTGCAGATCGTTGCCCATTGCCACGATCGAAAGAATGAAGAGTGGAAAAAGATGAAGAATAATGATAATAATAATAATAATAATAAGTCAACGGCCATACCGTGCTGGTCACACCGGTTCCCGTACGATCACCGAAGTTAAGCAGCATTGGGCGTGGTGCAAACTTGGATGGGTGACCGTTTGAGAACGCCACGTGCTGTTGGCTTAAAAAGAGCAAAAAAAAAATGAGAACAAGACAAAGTAAGAACCAAAAAACAAATCTTGTTCTACTGTCGACCTGAGGCAGCTCGACGAGAACGTGAATTTCACTGCTTCTGACCCTGGCCACTCCAAAGATGTTAGTCACCGGAGCCCAGTTCAGGAGACAAATCGTTCCCATCGAAAAAGACGGACTCAGGAAGACCTTCAAGAATTGATGTGGTGCTATCTTATAATAAGTGGCACCACCGAAATTCGAGTATTTGTCCCTAAGGAATCGGGTAGAAACCTCGGATAAATACTTAAAAACCCCGACAAGTAGCCTTGTCGTGTTTAATGGTGGACAATAATAATAATAATGCGAAAAACACACAGGAAACAAAACCAATCAAAATTAAAACTTGAAACAAACCGCCCACTTGTAAATTTTTTTTGTTTATAAAACGTATGCAAGAGCATTTACATACACACGCTTATACGTAAGCCTCCACCGCCATCGCCGCAGCCGCCATTTTGTTTATTTTATTTTATTTTTTTTTATATTTTTACGTTCGTCCAGTTTAATTAACGTGATTTTTTTTCTCATACAAATCACGGCGGTAGTGGCGGTGACGGCACACAACAACAACAACAACAAACGCCTCCTGATTTTTCTTTTTTTTTTTTTAATTCAAGGTTTTTACGCCCCCCCTCCTCTCCCTTATCCACCTCTCCATCCACCTCTCCATCCACCACTCATTTGTTTTCAATCAAAAAATAATTAGAATGAAAAATGACCGTTTAATAATAATAATAATAATAATAATTCGTTTGTTTGTTAAAATTTTTGCAAAAAAACAAAAAAAAAAAAAAACAGAAAACGGTCATCATCATCATCATCATCATCATCGATTGAATTAAACAATAAAAAAAATCACGCAATTTTTCGTTTAGGTTTTGTTGTTTGTTTGTTTGTTTGAGGTCAAGGAAAAAAAAAAAAAAACATTTTTCAAAGGGGGTTAATTAAAATTACCATTTGTCCGGCAAAAGATCCATCCATCCATCCATCCCTTCCTCCCTCCCTCCCTTCAGGGTTTAAAGAAAAAGGGACGTGAGTAAATCGATTTTTTTTTTTTCGTTTGGATTTTCCCTAGGTGAAAATCATGCGCCGTTTAAACGACACATGATTTTCTTTTGTTTCCATCCACGAATTTTCCCCCCGGAAAATCTTTTACGTCTTACCTCATTCCCTGGTGTACGATAGAATTTCTCCTCGTTTTACATATGATTAAATCAGCCCATTGAACGACAACGATGGATACGAAAAAAGCCGTGTGACAAGTATATTCCAATGTTTTCCTATCGCGATAAGTCTGAAAAAACCAAAAAAATTAAATATTGGGAAAATTTTTTAAAAAAGAGTAGGAAAATGGAAAAGCCTACCCATTCCTGTCCGTAAGAATCGGTTAAATCGTTAACAGCTTTCGAATCCCAATGTTTTCGTATTCCGAATAATTTTAACGGTAGAAAACCATTTTCAGCCATTATTACGAAATAAACAAAAAAACCTGCGGCAGCCTGTATCATTCCGATTTGACCGTAGGCCATGGAAATCAACCTGGAAAAGAAAACAACAACAAAAAAAAATCACACCCGAAAATTATTCAAATTAGATTCCAGGTTCGAACAGGTTCGGGACATGTTTTTTTTTTTTTCTCCCTATTGATGGGCAGAATTTTTATAAGACAAGGCCACACATACAAAAACTTTAAGTATTATTATTATTATCATTGAAATAAACGAATTGAAACTCACGAGACGATCATCATCATCATCATCTCACAATCGTTTAAATTTCCTATCGATTACTAATATTATTATTATATATGTTTTAATTACTAAAATATTACTAATTATTATTATTATTATAAAATTAGTATTAATTTTTTTTTTAGTATGTACAAAAGCAATAAATTAAAAATGAATGAAAAAAAAAAAAAAAAATTTAAAACTAAATTCTACAAATACTATTAAATCATAACTAATTCTACATTTTTGATTAACTAAAAAACTAAAATACTAAAATTAGTAGTATTAATTATGTTTAGCACAAATTTCTACAGGAAATGAATTATGATTTTTAGTCAAAATCAATCAATGATGAATTTGAGTTACTCGATAAATAAATTCAAAATTTAAAAATGACGTAAGCAGACACCATTTTAAATTTTTAAAAAAATCCCCCCCCTTTTTTGTTTATACGTCATCCATCTTGTCCCTTTTGTAATCTGAATAAATTTGAAAAAAAAAAAAATTTAAACGACAACATCAAAAGCAACATGTAAAAACAAACAAACAAACAAACAAACATACAAACATACAAACAGTTAATATAAAATATATAACGACACGCACACACGCACTCGCACGCACATTGACAATTCCCATACAATTTATCGTATTCGTATTGTTAATAAACGATTTTGTTAATCATTATTATTATTATCATTATTATTAATATTATTATTATTAGCAGACAATTTTTTTTTTTAGTTTTTTTTAATATTATTTTATTGTTGTTACCTTTCGTTAACGAGTTTATCAGTGAACGGATTACGTGGTGGACGTTTCATGATATCCGCTTCCGCTTCCTCATATGCCAAAGATATGGCGGGAACCTAATTTTTAATTTATAATAAAATAATAATAATAATAATAATACAAATTCAACACAAATCATTTTTTTTTTAAATATAATTAAATTAATTAATTTTTACTAAAAATTTAAAACTAAGTTTTTTTAACGTTCTTCTTCTTCTTTGGAATTTCTTCGAAGAGTAATAATAATAATAATAATAAACTATCTTAAAATTATTTTAAAAATTATTATTATTATTTTTTTTTGGTTTACGATTGCATTTTGGAGTTTTTTTATAGTCGTTATTATATCCGCCATATCGTTTTTTTTTTTTTTTTTTTTTTTTTTTGGAATTTTTATTATCATTAATTAAATTTTATTATTGTTCTAACGATACCTAAAAATACCTACTAATTTAGGTACAAAAAAAAGAGTTTAAATTGAATTTTTTTCCCTTTCGTAACAATTTATTATAATATATAATTTCATACGAGCGGCCATCCTTTGCTCAACAAACAACAAACAGCACAACAACCGTAATAAATAAAAAACATTTACTCTTTCTTTTGGAAACGTACAAACAACAACTGACCTCTTCTTTGACCTTTCGTACTTATTATTATTATCATTTTGATTCATTCATTCATTCACACCGACCGACCCATGATTTAAAATCAATTAAAGAGTAGTAAAACAAAACTCTCTCTCGAGTAGAGAGTGATTTAAAACAACAACAACAACAACAAACAAAAAACATGAACGACACACTCTTCACACGTACACACAATTTAAAATAATAATAATAATAATAATAATAATAAAATGAAAATGAGTGCAAATTTTTTTTTTTTTTTTTTTTGAAAAATTAACACGGCAACACATTTTAAATAAATCACGTGATCATTTCGTCATCACGAAAAATCAAAACAAAAACAAAAAACCTGACGAGAGACTCATCATTACATATATATATATAAAGCACCACCATTGCCTAAAATAATTTTTTTTTTTTTTTTTTTTTTTTTTTCAATAATGATAATAATGATGATAAACAATATATAAAATAAATCATGGAGTCGTTTCATTCAAATAATTCTCATTACGAATAAAAGCATGCAGTTTATGTATGTATATGAACGATAGCAAATTTTTTAAAGAATTTTTCAAATCAATAATAAATAAATTTAAACGCTTTAGGACAGCAAAACAGTCATGTAACCTAACCTTGAATAATACTTTTTTAACTATCTATCTATCTATCTATCTATCTATCTATCTACACGTTTGGAATGCCGAAAAGAAAAAAAAAACTAAATAATAGATAGATGAGAATGATAGATATATATATACTTGTTTAATATGAGAAATAAAGACAGAAAGTTTTGATGGTGTAATTAAAAAAAAAAAAAAAAAAACTAAAAATTAGCTCGAAATCAAATCAAACAGGCTGCGTTGTAAACAATGTGCAAGCTAATTTAATAATAATAATAATAATAATAATAATGATGATGATTTAAAAGAGTAGACATTTTGTGATGTTGAGACGAAAAAGAGCGTAGAAAAAAAATTCATGTTTAAAGTGAGTAAATGAATTTATATGCAAAAAAAAAAAAAAAGAAAAATTTGAATGCATGCTTTGCGTGTCCTCATAATTGTTTTTTTAAAACCTCCATGATTATTATTATTATTATTATTATTATTACCTTTCGTTAACTAAATTATCTTTGTAAGGATTTCTAGGACGACGCTTCATTATATCAGACTCAGCTTCTTCGTAAGCTAACGATATGGCGGGAACCTAATAATAATAAACCAAATAAATAAAAATAGGATATTAATTTTGACGAGAGTGGGTATACACAACTTGACAAATTTTTTTTTTTTTTTTTATCCTTTGTCTTCTTTCCTTTTTTTTCCTTTTAATCACGTAAATAATATAAATAAAGAAAGGGGATACGAAAAAATCCACTCACCATATCAGTTCCCAAATCAATGCAAAGAATAGTGACGGTACCCAAAGGTAGAGGGATATCCAACATAATGAAGGCAAGAAAAGGTGAAATTTCTGGAATGTTCGATGTCAGAGTGTAAGCGATTGATTTTTTTAAATTATCGAAAATCAAACGTCCCTCTTCGACTCCCGTTACGATCGATGCGAAATTGTCATCTAAAAGTATCATGTCGGCTGCTTGTTTTGATACATCCGAACCTGCGATACCCATGGCAACACCTAAAAAAAAAAAAAAAATGATACATTTAAATTATTTGTTAATCGACACATAGTAAAAACAAGCAAGGTACCGTAACTTGGAAAAACTCCAAGCGTTTATTTTACAGTTATAAAAACCTGAAAAAAAAAAAGGTCATTTTTATAGGTACTTTTTAAGGTACTGGATTACGTAAAAATAAAATATTTATTAGTTAATTAATTATTAATAAGGGATTTATTACAAAACTCTGAAGCAAATGTTTTTGAAAATTTTATGAATAAATCAGGTACGTAAGTACGATCAGGTGTTTAAATTTTCATCATTCCTAATAACGAACCCTTATTTAAAAATATTTTAAAAAGAATATAAGAAAAGGCCAACCTCAATCAAAATTCAATTGACCTTTGGTACGTTAAACAATTCAAATAAAAACTAAAAGTCATTTCAAATTTTTTTTTTTTTTTGGTCATTTTTATGCATTAAGTTTTTATTATTATTATTATTATTATTATTATTATTATTTTAAGTGTATTTTGATTTAATTAAAAAAATTTTTACGAAAAAAAAAATAAAAAGTCATCTTTGCAAAATTAAAAAAAAACCTTGATACCTATAGGTATATTCTGAACGATTATTTTTTTTTTTTTTTTTGTCAAAACCAAGGCCGACAATAATAATAATAATAATCGTTCACTTACCAATATCTGCTTTTTTCAAAGCCGGCGAATCGTTTACACCGTCACCGGTTACGGCTACGATGGCACCCATCCTTTGACAACCTTCCACGATGATCAATTTTTGCTGTGGTGAAGTTCTAGCGAACACGATTTCTGTGTGATACCTAATTTACAATCAACGTTGTAACTTTTATCTTTTTATAAAACAAAAAACTTTACAATTTTTTACAAGAAGAAAACTCTGATCACCTCAGTATTTCATCCAATTGGTCTGATGTGAGATCTCTCAATTCTCCACCGTGAACGACAGCCGCTTTGGCTTCCCTAGGATTAACTTCCGATACGGGTATGTTTAATCGTTGAGCAATATCCTCGATGGTTTCGTTTCCTACGTTTTTTAAATCGCAAATTTAATTTAAATTATTCGCTAAAAATACTCTCGTCGTGCAAGGATTTACCTTCGGATATGATTCCGACCGATTTTGCAATGGCTTTTGCTGTGATCGGATGATCTCCCGTGACCATAATTACTTTAATACCAGCTGATCGACATTTAGCTACGGCATCGGGCACGGCAGCCCTGGGAGGATCAATCATTGACATGAGACCGACAAAACGCAATCCGGTTATTGGGAAATTAGGATCGTCGCTGTCGAATTTGAATCCCAAAGGAAATTTATCAGACGGTAACATTAAATCACAGAATCCTAACGACAAAAAGTCATATAAATAAAATAATAATAATAATATTTTCAATGGGAAAAAACGACAATAAAAAAATTTTCTTTCGGGTACCTAAAACTCTTTCGCCTAAACCACCGAGTTCAAGGTAAGCATTATTGAAAGCTTCTTTCATTTCTTCATCCAAAACTCTTTCTTTTCCAGCAATGAATATAGAAGTGCAACGATCCAAAATTCTTTCTGGAGCACCTTTCATCACCATAAGATATCTCGGGTCATCAGCATTATCAGTTTCGTGAATTGAAACTTGGTATTTGTTAGTTGAATTGAATGGAATTTCGCAGACCTACAGTTGAGAAGGGGGGGAGGGGGAAAAGCGATAATTTATTAACATTCATAGTTCAAAGCAATTATTTACTTTTCAATACTCCAGTCATGGAATAACAAAAAAACAACTTGTACCTGACAAGGTACAAGAGCAATTTTTTTTTTTTTTTTTGCTGACTAACCTTTTTATTTTTTTTACGTATTGTCATCACGTCACCCAAAGCAAGTTCCATACATTTTAGTAAAGCAGCTTCCGAAGCGTCACCATTAACTTCCCTGAAGAAATAAAAATTAAAATTAGGAACACGTACCTACAAAATGATTTATCGGATTAAATTTTTCTTTTTACCTTTTTAAAATTGGAATTCCTTCTTGACCACCTTTAAATTCGGCTCGATTGCATAAAGTGGCAATCTTGGACAAAGCTTTAAATCCTGGACTGGTTCTATCATATTGAACACCTAAATGAAAATAATACTAGTACGAACCTTAAATGTAATTTAAAAAAAAAAAAAGAAAAAATTTGTATTTAAATACCAGATTGATCTTCCGTCGTATCCGCTTCGATAATTTGATTGTCGAACCACATGTGAGCGACGGTCATTCGATTTTGCGTAAGGGTACCTGTTTTATCTGAACAAATGGTAGAGGTTGACCCCAAAGTTTCGACAGCTTCTAAATTTTTAACGAGACAATTTTTGGAAGCCATTCGTTTGGCGGTTAGAGTCAAACATACTGTTACGGTAGCAAGTAAACCTTCTGGTACGTTGGCCACAATAATACCTATATTGGGTATGGTAAATGATGCATTTAAAAATTCAGAAAAATTTTTTTTAAAAAAAAAAAAATTCCTCCAATAATTAATAATTTTACCTATTAAGAAAATGACGGCATCCAACCAGTGATAACCCAAGATGAAAGCAATTAAGAAGAAAGTTATACCTAGAAAAACTGCTACGCCGGTAATGAGCTGGATAAAATGATGGATTTCTTTGGCGATCGGAGTTTCTCCAGTATCTAATCCAGATGCTAATCCAGCAATTCGACCCATAACCGTATTATCTCCGCAACTGATGACGACACCTTTAGCAGTACCTGCAAACAAGAAATTTTCATTTCGATTTAAATTTAATAAAATAAAATTTGTGTTTTTTTTTTTTTTTTTAAAAATTTAATCAACTTCGTACCTTCAACGGCATTTGTCGAGAAAAATGCCAGATTTTTTGTTTCTAATGGATTTTCATGAGTGTATTCGATACTTCTGCTTTGCGGTTCGGATTCTCCAGTCAATGACGAATTGTCAACTTTAAATCCTCGACTTTCTATAATTCTTATATCCGCGGGTATCCTATCTCCAAATTTAACTTCTACCACGTCACCAACGACAATATCTTCGGCTCGAAGGGTAAGTTTTTCACCTTGTCGAATAACCGTGGCAAACTAAATAATATATCAAAAAATTTCAGATTTTTTTTTTAATGTTCAAAACAAAGGAAATTTGAAATTTTTTTAAATATTTAAATATTTTAAACATTTTCTTAAATTTTCTTTTTTTTTTTTTTTTTTTACCTGGGGAACCATATTTTTAAAGGATTCCATAATTCTTGAGCTTTTGTTTTCTTGATAATATGAAAATACGCCAGTTACGATAACGACAGCGGCTAATACGATTCCAAGGTATAACTATAAAAAAAAAAATGTTATGATAATAATAATAATAAAATTTGCCAATAGCCAGGATGTGGGGAGGCGTCAGATCAGAAACTATTCCGGTCATCGTGGGAGCAGGACTGGGAGCCATGCCACCATATTTAATAAAAGAAAATTTAAAAGAAGAAACCATCCAGGAAATCGCCATATATGTGGGATGGCCCACATTCTTCGGAAAATATTGTGTAAATAGCACCAACAAAATTCGAGTATTTGTCCCTAAGGAATCGTCGGGGAAAAAACCTGGAATAAATCCTTAATAACCCCGACGAAAAATAAAAAATCTTGTCGTGTTTAAGAGTGACCATAATAATAATAATAATAATATTAGTATTAAAAACAAAAAAAATTAACAAATTAGCATATTACGTTCGTGAATTGTCATCAACAATTTGTAAATTAAATGACATTCTAAATTAATTATAAAGTCACGCGTGTGAAAATTATATGAAAACGTGTCACGAAAATTTTTTTTTTTTTTTTTTTTTTTTCCCCCCCGAAGGTTTTTCTATTTAATAAAAATAATTGATTGCCGCGGTCAAACGCCATTTTTTCGTTTTTAAAACACCGTACTCTATTTTAATGACGTGTTGGTTGGTTTAAACATGGCATAACATCTTACTTACATTGTCATCAGCTGGTTCTTCGACGGTTGTTGCTAATATACCATATGCGATGAAACAAAGAATCGAACCGATCCATAGGAGAAGAGCAAATCCACCGAATAATTGTTTGCAAAATTTAACCCATTCTGGAGTTTGTTTGGGTGGCGTCAAAGCGTTCGGTCCATCCCTTTCAAGATTTTCCTTTGCCTTTGCATGCGTTAGACCCTGAGCGTAAAAGAAAAATGATTTTTCACTTAGTCAGACAAAATATAATAATAATAATTCTCCTTGGTGAAACAATACAGATTTGACCTACTATATTTTTGGTCACGAAACGTGAGAGAAAAAATAAAAACCCTCCTCCAGTTTCGTGAAAAAACCGGGAAAGAGAAGAAGAAAAGAAAAAGGAAAATTAGCTTTTCTTGGCGTGTCTTAACACTTGCCTTTTTATACAAAGGAAGAGAAAGAAAAAACTTTAATTAATTAGGAGTCAAGCCACTAACTTTGACATTTAAAATGTTTTTTTTTCCGGTACGGGGAAGGGGAGGGGAGGGAAGGGGGAAATTTAATTTTAAAAATGGAAAACGATCATATATGTATGTACTCACGGTTTCAGCACTCGTATGAAATCTTTGATACAATTCATTAACCGAAATTTTATGATGATCGATATCGAGCTCTTGTTTGAGATCATCCAAATTTCCTTCTTTTTTCTTTTGCGGTTTCCGTCGCTGGAAAAACAATAAAAAAAAAAAAAAATTATTTTCTTTTTAATCTCGAATCTTTATTATTATTATTATTATTTTATTTTTTATTAAAAAACGCAATGTGGATTACAAATCGATAATTCATCATATTTTTCCCTTTTTCCCGGACTATTTTTTTTTTTTTTTTGAAGGAAAAAATTTAAATTGGAAAATTTTAGAATAGAAAAATTTTATTAAATTTTATTTTATTGCTCCCCAACTTTCCGAAACGACGAAAGAGAAGATTTTTTACTTTTTTTTTTTTTTTTTCGGGGGGGAGGGGGGAGAGAGAGACGGCGGCGAAAATCAATAATAACCATATATAATTTTATCTACGTACAGGTATGAAATAAAAAAAATAAAAAATTTTCCGAGGTATAAAAAAAAAAGAAATGAAAACGAAAATGATCTCTTAAACGTTTTTCGTAATAAATAATTCAAAAAAAAAAAAAAGGTTAAAAGTTCGAATGCATGTGAATTTTTTTTTTTTTTTAAAAAGGAAAAAATATCCATGATGATGATTTTTTTTTCCTTTGAAAAATCGGAAAATTTTTTTTTAAACGATCAATTAATTGGTTGGTTGATTACGTTTTGACATACAATTTTTTTTTTTTAATAAAAGAAACTGATAATACACACGCACACACACACACACACACACACGCACATATATGAAGTTAAATAAAAAAGAAATTTTATGACCTGTGTGGGTGTGCGTGTGACCAAGCAGAAGAAATTTTTAAAAAATATCATTTATCAACCTTTCTGAATAATAAAACAAAACAAATCGATTTTAATAAAGCCTAAACCGATACGAGTAAAAAAAAAAAAGGTTTTATTGAGCTTTTTGGGGAGACTAATTATTACTTAAAAGGAAATTTTCAAATTTTCCACCACGTTAGAAAGAATGATACCTGAATTGTGTTAACTTTTAAAAAAAAAAAACCATTTCGTAATCATACCAGAGAATACTAAAAAGAAATAATAATAATAATAATAATAATAATAATAATAATAATAATAATAATAATAATAATAAGCAAAGCAAAAGCAAAAGGAAAAAAAAATTCAGGGTAAAAATTTCAAATAATGCTTTGCTTATATAAAAAACACCCCCCCCTAAAAAATTTTTTTTTGTAAAATTGAAAATATGAGCTTTTTTTTTCCTTTTAATTTTTCCATATAATTTCCTTTGATCGGGTTGTTAATTTTTTTTTTTTCCCCATTTTAATTTAAAAAGTAATTGGAAAAACTTTCCAGAGATTGTTGTTAAAAAGTGTGTTGAATCAAAGAAGCAAAAAAAAAAAAAAAAAAAGAAAAATTTACCTTGGCATCTCCCATTTCGATTCACTTGCAAATTTCTTTTCTCCCTGGAAAAAAAAAAAAAAAAAGGAAAAAAATTAAAAAATTTTCCACTTTTTTTTTTTTTTTTTTAAATGTCAAACGGTTAAAACGTTCTTTATTAATAATTAATCCCTTTTTTTCCCGTTTTGTTGCACGAATCTACAATTTTATCATCATTTATTGATTTATTTCCATCATATAGATTTTCTCTCTTTTTAAATACTAACTAACAACAACTACTACTACGGTTAAGAAAGAACAAAAAAAAAAAAAAACGAACGTGTTTGATAATAATAAATCAACATTTAAAATAAAAAATTCATTTTAAAACAATAATAATAATAATAATAATAATGGGAAAATTTTTTTTTTAAACACCATTTTCCGAGGAGAAAAGGTTTTTTTTTTTTTTTTTTTTTTTTAAATCGATAATTCAACTGAATTCGGTTAACACACAGAGAAAAAAAAAAAAAAAATTTTCTCTAGAAATATCTATAAATTTTTCCAACTTTTTCCCGTTTTTTATCCTGAAAATTATTTATTTACGCCATGATAGTCGAAAACTAAATTATTATTACAATTATTGTTTTAAATTTTATTTAAAAAATAAAATAAAAAAAAAATAAAATCTTACCTGTGATTAAACCTCTCTCCAAAGAAAAGACAGGAGCGACTGAACGAACGTTAACGGCTACACTGCAGTTGTGAAAATTTTTCATGTGACGTCATAATGCGGAGCAAAATTTCTGAACGTACAACGTTCGAAAATAAGAGTGATACGAATTTAAAAAATATATATATATATATATATATACAGAGAAGATAATAAGAAACATGGAGATTTTTTCAATACTTTGACCAATATCCAATTCTAAAATATATAAATAATTAATATTTAAAATAAAATGGCAAAATATTAATTTAAAAAAATTTAATAAAATTATTTTATTACCAATTAAATCGTCAGATCGAGAATAAATTTTCCCTTTTTGGATTAAAATATCACATTTTCCACTTGAAACGCTACAAAAAAAAAAAAAATAGTGAGCCTATTAAAATATTTTCCAAAAGCAATCTGAAAAAAAAAAAAAAAAAAAAAAAAAAAAATACATAAATCATTTTAAAATTATATTTTCATAAAAGAAAGAAAAAACTTATGAAATTGTGTTCTGTATGCATACATATAAAATTATTATTATTATTATTTCTCACCCAAAAAATAAAGTTTCAAAACGTTCATGTTTCAAAACTCGATCGACACTCGTACAATCAACGCCATAAATTATTAATTTAGTTTTGCTATTTATATATATTAAGGTATTAGAAAATACATTTATTGATCCACGCAAACGACAACCCTGTTTGTTGTCTTTCTGTTTTCTTCTTTTTCATTTTCCTAGAAAGAAAAAAATTAATTTTGTTATAATAAATTGATGGAAAATAAGAGGAAGAAGAAATTAAAGAAATGATGAAAAATATAATATGAGAGAAAAGAGAGAGAAAAAGAATGATTAGAAAAAAAAACCCTAAAGAGAAAGTGAGAAAGAAAATATATATAAATATAGGTAAAAGAGAATGACAGAGAGATAGAGAGAGAAAGAGGGAGGAGGTAAAATTTACTACACCCCAAAATCTCTCATTTTAAACAAATAATAATAATAATAATAACCAATGGTATAAAATGTCTTATTTAAAGTTTCAATAAACAACATTGATTATGTTGCATAGAGAAAAACATGGCGAAATGACTGACACAAAAGTAAAAAAATATAAATTAAAATATGAATAAAAATTGCTGTTATGAGTTTGTCATTAAGTAATGATGAGTTATACAATAATAATAATAATATTAAATGGTTTTGGTATAGAAATAAAAGAAGAGTGATTAAAAAATATGGGCGTCATTGTCAACCGCCACCACCACCACCATCACCACCACCCCATCATTGTCAAACATTAATTATTTATTGATGTCCATTGTTGAGGAGAAAACAGTGAAATCCGTAAACTTTTACTCGAGGGCGCAAGTCGAGTCGACAAAATAGAATCGAAAGTCGAGAGCGCAGTTGTACGCCATGTCAACATGACAAAAAAACATTTTGGATTTTAATAGACTTATTTAAGAACACATAATAATAATAATAATAATAATAATAATAATATTAATATAAATATTCAAATTCTTAAACGCTTACCAGTTTGTTGTTTTCTTTTTTTTATTTTTTGATAATATTTCATTTGTTTTCTGGAAACATTTAATATATTTTCTTTTTCAAAACGTTCGATACTTTTCAGTATATGTATATATCATCCGTGTGAATATTATTCTCATATTTAACGTACGTTTATTTATAATTTTCTTTTTTTTTTTTCTCTGTGTGTGTTTTATGCACTAGTATTTGTTAGTTTCATCGATTTTCCAAAGGACAAAAATATCATCGTGGGAGAGAGACAAATACGTTGGAAAACCTGCAAGATAGAAAAACAAAATGTGAGTTTATTTATTATTATTATTCTCCTTTTTTGAATTTTTCTAATTATTATTATTATTATTATTCAATTACGGTATTCCTCGTTGCCGCCATCATTGTATATAATAAAAATTCATGTAATGGAGTAACGTCTTTTTTTCGTTTCTCTTACTAAAAAAAATACACGTATTAATAGAATAACTTATTAATAACACTTATTGACACGATTATTTAATTATTTTTTCTAAATTAATAAATAAATAATTAATTAATTAATTAATATTAATAATAAAAATAAAATTTTAATTACATATAAAAAAAAAATTTTGATATATCTGTTAATATTACGTAATTACTACTCTAGTTAAAATAAATTCATTAATTATTAATTTATAAAAATACGTTAATCAAATAAGCAACTTTATAATAATTAATATTGACGACGTATCTTCATTTCGTAATATTTATTTGCAAACACAGAAAAAATGGCCAAAATCGTTTTAAATTAGCATTGAAAAATTGACATAATCAAAAGAAAAAAAAAAAAACCTTAAATAAATAAACGTTTTAATTACATTAACGAATAGAAATTAAAAAAATTATTAAAATAATTTCGTGACCATGTATACATTATTATCATGCTTATTGTTAATAACAAAAGAAAATCAATGGAAAATTTTATATAAAAAAAAAATAAATTTAATTTGGATTTAAATTTATGTTTACATAAATACTTTTAATTTAAATGAAAATTTTTTTTAAAAATGGTTTCTTCACTTGTAATTAATTAACGTGATTTTATTCACGGACATATACTACTACTACTCCCTGTCACAAAAATTAATTTAAATGATTTTAACTCTTTGATTCATTATATATAAAAATTTTTCAAATGATTTAAATTTACATACATATATGTACATAAAATTTAAATAAATAAAATAACAATAAATAAATTAAATTATTTAAAATACATAAGAATAAACAAATACAATTTTTAACAATAGAAATCATTTTTTTCCCTTTAGAAAAAAATTATTTAAGAAAACCTAATAAGGCTCTCACTAATAATAATAATAATAATAATAATAATAATAATAATAATAATAATAAAATTAAAAAAGTTTTTTTTGCAAAAGATAAACTAATAAGTTATTTAAAAAAAAAAGGAACAAACAGAGCATAATATTAATTATTATTATTATTATTATTATTATTATTAGTTGTTTTTTATAATAAAAAATCAATAAAAATCAAAATAAATATTAAAAAAAAAAAAAAAGTAATAAAACAAAACTTTTAAAAGTTTTTTTTTCCTTTTTTTTTCCTTTTTTTTTTTTACTCTTTTATTATAATAAAAATTTTAATAAAAAAAAAGGAAAAAAGGAAAAAAATTTAAATAATACAAATCAATAACAAAAAAAAAAAAATGGAAAAAAGTAAAAAAAATTTAAATTAAAATCAGTCGAAAAAAAAATAAAAAAATAAAAAATTTTTTTTCCTTTTCCTTTTTTCCATTTTTTTAAACAATGGAAAATTTTCAATGGAATTAAAGAACAATAGCTTTTGTTTTATAAATGAATTATCTTTTACCCTCCCTCTCTCTATCTCTCTCTCTCTCTCTCTCTGGAATTTACCTTTTATATAAATTTTTCTCAACTATATATATATATATATATGTGTGTGTGTGTAATATTTGTTTTAAAAATTTCCTTTTTTCCTTTTTTAACGTTAATAATAATAATAATAATAAATCTTTTAATTTTATTATTTTTTTTTAGAAATGTAATATGGTGAAACACAAACTGTCATGGAAGTTATTTTTCCTCAAAATGTAATTATTTTAAATATAATCGTTCAACAACCGACGTCGTCATCATTTTTCTTCTCTTCTTCTTCTTCTTCTTCTGCTAGAACAATTGAAAAAAAAATTATTATTATTATTACTACTACTACTAAAATTTATGAAAATGATATTGAAAAAATAATAATAATAAACGATTTAAATTATTACGATGGAAAATTATTCAATGAAATTTTCAAAAAAGTGATAAATACAATAATAATAATAATAATAATAATAATAATAAACTTTATAAGGTGTTATAAAATTTTTAACGGTCGTTTTATTTATTATAACATATCAATGTTGAAAAGATCCCATTCGATGGAATTCGATACGGATCAATATAATAATAAATCAACATCATCATCATCATCGTCATCAGCATCATCATCATCATTATCCGTTCCGCAATCATCATCATCATCATCATCATCATCTGATCCGTCTCGTTCGACGTCGGGATTTACTAAAGAAAACGATGATAATCATCAGATGAGTAAAAAATTATGCAACAATTCGTCGAGTTTCGATATATCGCACGATGGACCGATCGAATCCGATGTATCGATCGAAAATTCTCGAACGAGTTCGACACACGGAAGACCTATCGAACCCTATCGAAGGTATTCTTCGCAAGGCGGTGAAAATTCACACGTGACCCAATCCAAATCAATTTTTTCACACAAGGATGGCTTCGTGTACGGTAATCCGAAGGATGACATCATCAAAAACATCGATAATCAATCGGTCAAAGATTCCATTATTGATAGATTTTCGTCGGAAATAAATAATGCATCCAACGTGTTGGATTTAAGTTGTAAAATTAGTAAGTCTGACGATCACGAAAAATCGCGGGAAAGAAAAACATATCATAATAATAATAATCACGAGAGATCCGATAACTCCGTGGTGGCAGCAGCAACGACGACGACGACGACAGAATCATTTTTATCGAGAACGTCGAACAACGTCGAAATAAAACTTGTTAATCCTATAAATAAAAAACCATCGATACCGGAACAATTGCAAATTGCTAAAATACAACAGCAACAAAGGAGATCCATGCAACAGCAGCAAAAATTCTTACAGCAAATGAGAAAAACGTTGGATTCGAAAGGTGGTCACAAACAAGAGAACAATTCCCACGGCGGCCATAATAAAAACGTTAAACATTTTAACAATCCGAGTAATTACGATACGAATAATGATGATAATAATGACGTCGTCGTCGACAATCATCAGGGAAGAGTTAAAAGTGAATTTCTATCGAGATTTCCTCCTTCTCATCATTTCCCACATTTTCCATTTCCCGATTCTTTCGATCCGAATCAACCCAAAGAACTTCCCGACAATCATCCCATTCTTCCCCTTCTCGATCCCGTTTATTTTTCCGCTCTTTACAACGCTCACGGATTTCTTCCACCGAGTTCTCCAAGCATTGCTGCTGCTTTTATCGGAACTCTTCAAGATGCTCTTCCAAAGTTACCCATGATGTTTCCATCCACATCTTCCAACACTTCGCCTTTACTCCCGCAAAAAAATAACGAAAATCAAAATTAATTTTTTAATAATTAATAATAATAATAATAATAATAATACTTAACAAATATACACGTAATTATCAAATTTATCATTTTATAAAACAAAAAATAAATAATAATAATAATAATTTTTTTTACCATTAATTAATAATTGTAAATTAATTTACATAATTTATGTTGATATGAATAAGTATAATAATTAATTAATTAATTATAATAAAATTATACTACATTCAATGTTTTAACATATCTTATCATTCTTATCATTTTTATGTGCGTGAGAAGCAGAAGACAAAAAAACATAAACATAAACATAAACAAGGTAATGAATAAATAAAAAAAAAAAAAAAACTTTAAGTAAAAAAAATTTTAAAAATATTTTCAAGTTTTCCCCATTTCCCCCTCCACTCTTCCCACTCCCCTCACATTTCTCCCTCCTCCTCCTCCCTCCCTCCGTTTCACATACACGTGACCGTATTTTTATTAAATTATTATTATTATTATTAAAAAAGAATAAAATAAAAAAATGTCAAAATACATATAATATAAATTTACTTTAATTAAATAATGATATCACATAATAATTTTTTTTTCGATTGTTTATTTGTTCCCATCTTTCTCCTTCCTTTTCCCTCCCCTTCTCCCCCTCCTCCCGGTTAATCGAGATTTGTAAAAAAGGCGGGGCGGGGAGGTGGGGGGCATTATTTTCTATTTCCTTCCTTTTTATATTTAATTCGCATTAAAAATGATTTTTTTTTTTTTTTTTGATTTTCGAACGAGTTTAAAAATCATTATCAATTTTTATACGAACCGGAAATACAAATCAAACCGGAAATCGTATAAAAACCTTATGAAAATAACAAATAAATTTTTTATTTTTATTTTTTAGTTTTACGATTCTTTTAGAGTTTTTCTCATATTTAAATTGTTTTTTGTTTTTTCCCCTCCTCCCCCTCCTCCTCACTTTTTTTTACCTTTTCCTTCTTTTTCCTTTTTTCCTTTTTTTTTTTTTTTTAACGGAATAATAATAATAAAATTTTTTATTAGGAAAATTTTTTAATGGCGTTTTCCAATATGGCTCCTTTGGCTCATTCCCCCGGATTTTGGAATAAAAACAAAATTTTCTAATTTCATTAAATTTCCATGTCGTTGTCTCTCTTCCCCCTTTTTCCCTTTCTCTCCCTACCCCCTTATCCCTTATCCCATTTTCATCCATCCATCCATCCTTTTCTTTCTTTCTTTTTCCTTCTTTCTTTCTTTCTCGCTTCACAATGTCAAATCTGTCTTATTCGTTTGTACTAATTTATCGAGTTTTTCTATGAATAAATTTTTTTTTTTTTTTTTTTTAAATCCTACAAATTCATCTTTTAAACCTTTTTTCCCTCTCTCTCTCTCTCTCTCTCTATCCTTTTTTAATGATCCTTAAATTTATTTTCCGCTTAACGTTTTTAATTTAGTAATAAAATAATAATAATAATAATAATAATAATAATAATAATAATATATAAGGAAAAGAAACTAACTTTTTTTAAACTCCTTTTAATTCGGTTCCTTTCTTTCTTTCTTTCTTTCCCGGAGATTTATTTTCTTTTTGCTTTAATTTAAATATTTTAAACGAGTTAGATGGTGATGGCGATGGTGGTGGTGGCGGAGGCGGTGGCGCTTTTCTCACGGAAGAAGATGTTGTTGGTAAAACGTTAGAAGGAAAAATTTAATAAAGGCTTGAACACAAAACTGAAACAATAAAAATCTTTGATAAAATAATCAATTGGATATCGATAAATTTTAACTTTCCCCCCTCACCCTCCATCTCCACCTCCCCGTCATTCCCACCCCCACATCCCCCGTGTCAGAAAGTTGAAAAAAATTTAAGGGATGAAATTTTGTTAGCAACCAACGACCGGGCCGCCAAACAACCGTTTAATCGATACAAAAAGTAAAATAAATTTTTTACTAAACGAGTAAAAAGAGAAAAAAGGGAAAAGCGGGAAAAACGGGAAAAACGGGAAAAATATGGGAGGAAATAAAAAAAATGGAAATAAAAAGAAAAAAAAAGAACAGGAAGAAAAAGATGTTTTAACAGAGGTCGATAGAGAATATTACGAAATACAATTGAACGATTTAAATAGGAAATTGAACAGGTGAAAATGATAATGATAATAATAATCAAAATATAAATGAAATTTTCCATTTTTCCTTTTGTCTTTTCAAACTCATTCCAGGTATGAAAATTCAAATTAAAAGGTTAAAATCAAAATGTGAAGATTTGGAAACGTTAAATTTACAACTGGAAGAAAATATAAAAATATTAGACGAAGATAGATCGGACATAATTGCTTTTTTAAAAAAAAACCTGATATCGAAAACAAACGAATTATCAGAACTGCAGGAAAGATTTGACGGTTTGAAACAGGTATGCTATTATTATTATTATTATATTAAAATTGATTGTTTTAAACTTACCTCGATCGATATTTTTATATTTACAGTCGATGGAATCTGGCGTTGTCAGTTACAAAGAGAAAATAACAAATATGGAGCAAGAGTATAAAAACATGCAAAACGAATTGACATCTGAAATAAAATTATTAAGTGAGTTAGTTAGTTAATAATAACAAACAAAGCAAACAAACAAAACAAACAAACAAACAAACAAACAAAAAAAATTAATTTAAATTTAAAAACTATTCGTTAACACAAAAGCAGTATGAAAATAATAACAATAATAATAAAATTACTCTTTTTAGTGGGTAAATTAAATTCGTTGGAAGAATTTAGAACGCAAAAAGAAGAATTAACGAGTAAATTTTTACAACAGGAAAAAAAAATGAGGGAACAAGAAGAAAAACATAAGAAAAATTTATACGAAAATGAAAAAAAATTCATATTGGAAAAAAACAAGTAGAAACGAATTCTAATTATTACTTAATGATAAAATGAAGTTATTGATGACGTAATCAATCAATCAATTACTAATTTTTTTTTTTTTTTTTTGTTAGATTGAAAAAAGAAATGGAAACGAGATTATTAAAATTATCATTGGAATTTCAAAAAGCAACGGATTTAAGAATGGCGTCGACAACTCATAAAATGATACGTGAAAATATTGCGGTGAATAACGAGGTAAACAAAAAAATTTTAAAATTAATAATAAAAGGTTAAAAGCGTGCAAATTAATTTAAAACAACCAAAACAAACAAACAAACAAACAAACAAACGAGCAAACGAGAACAAAAGAATTGAAGAAAAATTAAAACTCACGATTTCTTACTTCCACCCCTCCCCCCCCCCATTAATAACGAACGGACATTTTCTTTTCAAGTTGACAACCATGCAAGAATCACAAATAGAAATGATAAAAGAAAATGAAAAAATGAAAAAATTAATACAGGAAATTAAAATTAACGGTCAATTAGTTGAAGAGGAAAAAAATATGGTGTTGAAAAAAAATTTAACACTCATCAAGGTGATAAAAACAATAGAAATTTATTATTATTATTATTTCTCCTCCCCCGCCCCGCTCCCCTTCCAGTTGATTTACCACAATAATAATAATTTCAGGTCATCGAAGATCTCATTAAAAAACGCGAAGAAGACGAGGAAAAAATTAAAAAATATTACAAAATGGAAAAATATTGTCAAACCCTTAAAAATAAATTAAACGAAACGGATGATAAATTAAAAGAAGCCAATGGAGAAGTGAGTAATAAAATGATGATGATGATGATTATTCACACGTTTTTTTTACTTCGCTGCCAAATAATCATTTCCGGTTTTTTGTTTCTTTTCCCCCCCCCAAGATAAAAAAACTCAGCGAAAGATTGTCAACGGGTCAAACGAATGCTGCTAAATTATATGCCGACATAGCCGCGTTGAAATTAAATTCGAGACGTTTGTACGGTATCCTGCACAGAGCCGTTAATGCCGTTAAAGATGCGTTGAGAATACACGAAACCCCCGAAGAATCCGAAGAGATAATACTTAGCAAACGTCTCGCATTGTTAAATAATCTTTTGCAGATTTTAAATAGAGCGGAAATGTCTGAAAAAGAACGTTACCTGTAAGCAAACAAACATTTTGTAACAACAACAACAACAAACAACAACAAACAATTTAACAATCAAATTTTTTTCATTTTTTTCTAGTACGAAAAGAATATCTTACTGTTATAAAAAAGGCGATTTGGGTTTTGTACCACCCCAGCCGACAGAACAACAAATTCAAACGCAATAATAATAATAATAATAATCCTTTCGTTTCGTACAACAACAAAAATCAAACGAAAGATGAAAGATGAAATATTAATGGTCGACCCGAGAAGACGTAGTCATCATGGGGGTACTACTACTACTACTACCACTACCATTCATTCGAGAATATCATCATCATCATCATCATCATCATCATCACGACGTTAAGTTTTCGTTCAGGTTTAAATCTAAAGTCGCGTATTTTTCCACGTGCACGCTCATGTGTCTCGTTAAATGGGATTTGAAATTATAAGAACATTCGCAAATGGTGCATTTGAATATTTTCTTATTTTCGTGTTGAGTTTTTTTGTGCATGTTCAACGACCCGTGAAACGAATACGATTTACCACACAGACCGCAAACGTAGGGTTTTTCTCCCGTGTGTTTACGCAAATGATTTTTCAATTCCGTTTTAACCGGAAACGGTTTCTCGCATATTTCGCACGAGTATTTACACAGTTCCGGAAAATGATGTTTTTTCTTATGGACGAACAACAGATAAGAGTATTTGAAATCTTTACCGCATAATTTACACACGTACCCGTTTTTACCCTCGTGTACGGATCGCTTGTGTATCAAAAGTGCACTTACTCTTTTAAATGTTTTATCGCAGAGGGAACACGTTCGTTCGACGACGTTTTTCCCCGGTTTTTTCGGCTTCGCATAACTCTGACCGGATTTCAATTTCAAATGAACGCATCTTTCGTGCATGTAAACGTATTTCATGTGTTTGAACGTTCGCGGACAAAACGAACACGAGTAAGGTGTTTCTTGAGAGTGAGTCGCCAGGTGTATGCCGAACGAATACGAATTCGTCGAACCTTTTCCGCAAACGTGACACGTGAATTCCATTTGCCCGGTGTGATATTGTAGGTGTTCTTGCAATCTCGCTTTCCTAGAAAATTTTTTACCGCAGTAATGACAAACCAATTTGAATTCTTCGTGTACGGTTTTGACGTGTTGCTTGAGAGATTCGGATTTGGAAAATGATTGACCGCAAAAATGACACACGCAGGATTTGTGATGACACGTCCAATGTTGATCGGCAAGGATTTTCGATTCGAAACGTTTGTTGCAAACCGAACACTTGTGAGTCATTCCTTCTTTTTTACCGCATATTTTCTCGTGGGCCAATCCGTTGTCCTCGAATTTAAATTTTCTATTGCAAACGCTGCATGAAAATTTTTTCAATTTATCCACGTCCGACGATTCCCTTCCATGTTTTTTTAAATGATTCGATAATTTCGATTTTTCCTTAAATGCTTTTCCGCAATCGTTACATTTAAACTCTTCGGAACTCACTTCCTGTTGTTGTTCGAGTGACGACAAACATTTCATTTTATCGTTATTATTTGTAATCGAAGTCATCGATTCGATTAAATACTCATCGATATCTTGTTGTTTTTCGACATTATCATCTTTATAATTATTTCCGTTTCGGTTCGTCTCGGTTTCATTACGTATATTTCTTCTGAAATATAAATATCATACTTTATTATGTTGCATAGTTAAATGTTTTTCATTAACAAGAAATTTTTTTTGTTTCGATTAGTTTAATATGTTTTGGGAAATTAAAGCAACACGTGCAAATTCTTACCTTAAAATTTCATCATTTCGGTGTGGTGGTAGTGGAGAAAAAAAATAATTTACACTCCTCTTAAAAAAAAAATAACCAAGCATCCTCCTAATTTAAAACCTCGAACACCTCGAAAACTTCAAAAATCTCATTTTTCTCATTAAAAAAAAAAAAACATTATTATTATTATTATTATGAATTATCCACCATTTTTTGTGAATGAGTTTTCAAATGAACTTTTAAATATCTTTTCATGACGAACGTCAAACTGCAAAACGAACAAGAGAATCGCCTTTCTTTCGAATGAGTTTTCTTATGTTTCATCAAATCGTAATTGTTAACGAATCCTTTTCCGCATATCGAACACAGGCACGATCGCGTACCTTCGTGACGTTGACAATGATCTATAAAAGTACTTTTGAGACGACATCGATAATCGCAAAGAGAACAGGCGAAGGGTAATTCTCCCGTGTGAATTTTTTTATGAGCAATGAGATTGGGTCTAGCCCTGAAATCTTTTCCGCATATTTCGCATATGAACGGCCTTTCTCCCGTATGAGTCCTAAAATGATCTTCGAGACTTTGAGTCGAAGAAAATACTTTACCGCAATAACTACAAGATAAATTAGCAAATTTTATTTGTTGGTGAATTATTTTTATGTGTCTGTCGAGTACGGATTGTCTTTTGTATTGTTTTCCGCAAGCGTGACACGTGTACGAATCTCCGGAATGAACGGACAAATGTCTTTCGAAATTAAACCTTCGATTGAAAACTTTTTTACAAATATCGCACCTGTAAAATCGTCTTTCTTTTGTTACAACCGTTTTCTCTTGGATTTTTTCCCTAGGATTACATTTATCCGTATTATTTAAATTGCATTCTTCGAATTTCGGACTATATTTAGACTCGGGTTCGGAGTTGGAATCATCCAAATAGTTAATTAAACGATTCGACGACGAATCCGTCGACATAATACCCATCGTAAATTTTACTTCATCTCTGGAATAAAAGATTTTCGCAACAATTACAAAGTGTTGTAACAAAAGAAAGAAAACGATTGTGATATATAGAAATTTTTATGAAGACCCCTTAAATCTATTACCAACTTATACCATCACCACCACCACCACCACCACCATCACCATCACCAAAATTAATTATTAACCCTTTTATTAATGATAGAAAATGTAAGATTTACATATAATTAAATTTAATGTGAATGAAATACATAAATTATTTTAAATTAATAAATGCTAAACGAAATTGTATTAGTTTTATCAAATTAGAAAGCCATTTTACATACATATATGCGCATGCATTAATAACATTAAAGTTGATTAATAATTAATTAAGTAATATACATAGTTATAAAAAATCACTAATAAAAAATTTCATATTCAGTACTTTAAACTAATAAATTATTTCATTTATTAAAAAAAATAATTATAAATAATAATAATAATTTAGCCGATGAAATTTTACATTTTAGTGAAATTTTGATTTCATCCGTGTTCTCTTTTAATATGTTTTTCCAAATCACTTTTAAGTATGAAACCTTTTTGACAATATTCGCATTCAAGGTGTTCGATTTCTTTATGAGATCCCAAATGTATGAGCAAATGACATTTCCTCGTGAATCCCTTACCGCACACGTAACAAATTTGACTTTTCCTCATGTGCGTTTTCAAATGTTGCCTTAAATTTCCGGTCATTTGAAATGTTTTACCGCAAAATTTGCACACTTCCGATCTTTCGTCCGAGTGCAATTTCAAATGTTCTTGCAAATAATGTTTTGTGCTCAGTTGCGCGCTGCATACGTGACACTGAAATTCTTTCAAACCCAAATGAATCGCTTTGTGATGCCTTTTCAAAACGCTCGGACTTGAAAAATGACGATTGCAAACTTTGCAAAGACGTCTCATTCCGTTCGCTGTGTGATGATACTTTCTGTGATGGTACAAATGTTTTTGATGAATGAAAGTTCGACCGCATTGATCGCATTGAAAAGGCCTCGGATCGGAATGAGAATCTTGATGAGATTTCAATTCCCCGTTTGAATCGAACACTTTCGAACAAATGGGACACTTATATCGTCGTATTCCTTCGTGTATGACTGTCACGTGACGTTGCAAACCTGAATCCTGAGCGTATTGTTTTCCGCAATGATGACACGTGAATTTTTTTTCCCCCGTGTGAGTATCCATGTGACGTTTCATCGAGTATTTCGTCGATATAACTTTCCCGCATATTAAACAAACGGGTTTTCCATCTTCATTTCCCATCGCGTCTTTTTGTTGTGTCAATATTTTTCTCTCATCGATACTACTTGCGTTAAAAGGAAATTTAGTTTTTGCATGTTCCATCACGTGTTTAATTAATTCCTCCGATGTATCACAACTGAATTTACAAATTCGACATTCAATTTCACTTGTGAAATAATTTTTATCAAACTTATAATTATCGATTAAGTGAGAATATAAATCGTTTAAAAAAAGCGTGTGATGATCGAATGTTTTCCTGCATAATGGACAACGTAAAGATTCTAAAACTCTATCCTGAGTAATTTTTTTTAAATTTATCCCATTCCCTTTTTCCAATCCTGTCTGGAATGATGATGATGATGATGATGATGATGATGATGAAGTTTTACATCTAGTCAAATTCAATACGACAATATTATTTATGTTTTTATCCCCATTTCCATGAATTGTTAATTTCTTTTTTTTCTTCCTTAATTTTTTTGTCCTGTAAGTAAATTTTCTTTTGTTGTAAATAAATTTTAAAAGTTACTGACTTGACAAAGATACGACTAAATAATAATTTTATCAACAATAAATTCAAATAGATTATTGTTAATTATAAAATAGTAGAATTTTGAAAATTTTTACAAAACTAAATTTTTTAAGATGGCGTCATTTGACAATTATATGATTTAAAAGAAAACAATTTTAAATAATTGAAAATATTTCTCGTTAGCTTTTTGCGTGTAATTTAGAGTGTTTTTTCATATCGTTCATTTGTGCAAAACCTCTTCCGCAGAAATCACAAACGAACGGTTTTTCTCCCGTATGACATCGAACGTGAATTTTCAAATGATCTTTTCTGGCGAACGCTTTCCCACAGTGATCGCAACCGAACGGTCTGATTTTCGTATGAACTTTTGAATGTTGTCTAAAATTAGCTTTCGTTCTAAAATTTTTCCCACAGACGGCACACACGATCGGTTTTTCTCCCGTATGTATCAGCATGTGCTGATCTCTTGATTTTTTCGTAGTGAATTTTTTTTTACATTCGTCGCAACCGTATTTATTTCCGTGAACCGTTTTAGTTTTAGACATTCGATGAAATTTTCTGTGGGGGTAAAATGATGCTTTGGTGAGAAAAATCCGTCCGCATTCTTCGCAAATGATCTTATTTTGAACTTTGTGAATGTTTCTATGATCTTCCATCTCACCGTGTGACCTGTATCTTTTACCACAATCCGAACAAACGTGATTTCTAACACCTTCGTGTATGACTTTTACGTGTCGAGATAAATTGAAACGATGTCCGAAATTCTTATTGCAAATCTCGCAAGAAAATTTTTTTATATCGCAATGAATTTTCACGTGATTTTTTAAACCGAGTCTTGTGTGAAAAACTTCCTGACATTTTTTACAAATGAATTTTTTTGGGGATTTTAAATTTTTTGAAATTTTTGATTTGATCTCTCCTACTAATGATTCATTCCCATCCTTTATTAACTCGTCGGCTTCTTTGTCTTTGAAAAAATTAACTTTAAGTTTAGTTAAAAAAAGTTTTAAATTTTCAATAATTGTACAATTCTCACAACAGAAACTCTCACAGATATTTAAATTTAATATCTTGTTAATAAAAGGTACATGTATATTGAATTGATACTGATAAGTTGAAAATGATAAATCTGATTCATTCTCAAATCTGAAAACAAAACTAGTTTTATCTTGTTGCAGACATTTCATTTATGTAAAAAAAAATTTTTCTTCAACAGTTCCTGAAAATGAGTTTACAATCGACTACTCAACATTTGAAATATTATTTTAAGGTACCATAACCTATTAAAATTTACCATGAGAATTTTTTTAAAAAGTTTCCACTAAACTATTTACAGAGAAATTGTTAAATGTTTTAAAGTATTTAGTGATTAAAAATGATTTTTAGCGATAAATGATTGCTTGAAAACTCAATCGTAATTTATGGCAGAAAATTATGTTCAAATGATTTACTCTTACCTTCCTAAATTATTTTTTAAAAGTTCCAATGAAGGATCATCATTACAATTTTTATTTTTTGTTGAAACATCTTTCTCCTCATGACTTCTTTCCTGTAAATGAAAAAAAAAATAATCGATTCAATATACATAATAAAGAATTTTATCATATAGTAATGCTTAATAAATGCTTTTATCGATAAACAATTACATTATATTTCGATTGATAAAAAGAAAATGGTAACTTACAATGAATGATGTCTTTAATTCATTATTATTTTTATTATTTTTCTTAATTAATGGTTCATCATCGCTATCAATGTTATCACTAATAAGTCCCTCGCCTACTTCAGTACTCTAGAATTGTAAATAAATGTCAATTATGTCACATATAAGAAAATTATAATTAAAAAAAATAAAAAATTTTACTTTTTCACTATATTTATCTCTAATCGAGTCTTTTAATAAATTTAATTTTTTTTCAGCCTTAACGCAACCAACTATTAGAGCATCCCAAGCGATTAATGTAGATGCACAATGATAACATAAATGATTGGGTAAACCATCATTTTGAGAAACCTGAATAGAATTTGCATATTATTATTATTATTATTATTGTTAATTGAAAAATTGTTTTAAATTTTAATTAAACTTACTCTAATGGGTAAATATTTTTCAATTTTTGTATTTAAATTATAATCCAATCCTTCTTCTTTAAAAATTGGTACCAGACAAGAATCAACATTCGCACAAGTTCTACAAAATAATAATGGATCATATTTGTCAGTAGATTGTAAAATATTCGAACATTTCGGTTCCGAGTCAGTCTTAGATTTCTCTTCTTTAAAATTTATCTGTTGTAAGTTGAATAAATTTTCTTTCGAACTAGCAGCCATTAATACTGTGAAGAAAAAAAAAGAAGCTTTTGATAATGCAATAAAAACGTTTAAAAGCAAAATACTACAAATAAATTGGTTAAATTTAAAAAAAAAAATGTTACTTGATAGACATAAATTAAACACAAGTGTGGAAATACATAAAATTCAATTTACATTATTATAAGTCACTAATGAATGATCAGTCACAAAAGGTAATGAAATACAATTTACAAAGAGATCAAGTCAAAATTTTAATATTTTAATTAAAAATTAAATTATTTTACTATAATGCATGACTAACAATATGTTTTCTTGGATTATAAAAATAAATGATCATAAAAAAACAGACCAATCAGAAGCTCGAGTCTCTGACAGATTATTCAAATTTCAGTTTGACTTTTTTTTTTTTTTTTTTACCGGTGGTTAATAATTCAACTGTTTCAATAAAATTATGTATTACTTACATAATTATGAGCATCACCAAAGATTTCGATATTATAATTAATATTTAACGAGTAATTAATGAAACAAGACGCGTGACATTGTACAAGAATTTCGCTCGAGGAAAAAATAAAAAGTAAAATTTTTTATACAATTTCCGCGCATTTACTTTTACTTTTAATAATAACGTCTGAAAAATATCAAAATCGGCAAAATTTATTGAATTTTTTTAAAAATTTAATATTTAATGTACGAATCAATACTTACACTTTTTTTTTTTTAATTCAATAATTTATTTCGCAGCATAAAATTCGTTTAATTTTCTTAAATAGCGAATAACTAAACTGAAATTAATAATTTTCAACCATTGGTAAAATTTGAAAATCTACGTCACCTCATCCTTAATTTCTTAAAAATTTGGCGCGTTTTTACATTTTAATCCGAATAAAAAACGGATACGGATGCATAAAATTGTGGGCTAAGTTTTCCTAACTGTACACTGTTTGAAAACCATTAATTTAAAAAATATTTTTTTATTAAAAAATACGTGTAATAAAAAAAAAGTGTTCACTTCTTTAAAAAAAAATTTTTTTTTAATTATTTTTAATCGATAAAATTATTAAATTTATAAAAATAATTTTAAATACGTAGATTTTAAACAGTGTACAGTTAGCTAAGTAAACTACATTTAAAAAAAAAAAAAAAAGAAATTGATTGCTTTAGAAAAGTTTTTATAAAAATCCTTATAAAAAACTTTTTAATAAATGTAAAATAAAATAATGATTTAATATTTACTTTTATTTAAATAAATCATTATTAATAATAAAACAAATTTAATTTAATTTAAAAAAAAAATCGTACGTTAATTGTGACATATTATCTTTTATTTCTAAACTCATTGCCTTTAATTAGAGTCTGAAAATCGATAGTATGTGCGTGAAATAAGAATTCATGAACGAACAATTGAGGAATAAGAGTTAAATAATTTTTAACCAGAGATACTTGGCGTCTATTCATAAGAAATTTTACCGCGTTGTTTATAAAATATGAGCTGAGGTTAATTTCGTGATGAAATAATAATGTTTAGAGTAATGTTTTTATGATTTTTTTTTTTTTTTTACTCATTCAATATCCACGAACTTGTTTTATGAACAACATTAATGTCTCAGAATATAATAGGCGTTGTTTTTTTCTGTGGAATCCATTTTTTAAATGAAATATGACTGAAGAAGAAAACAAAGACTGTGAGTGAACAAACGGATTCTTTTCTTAAAATAATTATTTAGTTAAAAATTAAATTTACCATATTATTCAAATATCATAGTACTACCATAGTAGTAGTATTGTTAAAATCCGCGGCATAGCCGTTGAATTTGATTAACAATTTTTTTTATTCTATGTAAACGTTTTACCAAACCGTATGATACCAAGCGGGTCATAAAGGTGTCAACACTTTAATTGTTTAACAATAATAAATTTCTTTGAAATATTTTTATATAATTCGCGTTTTCGTTTATTAAAAATGTTTTAATTATTCAATAACCCATTTCGATTATATATACATTTTAGTTGAAATGGCAGTAGGCAATCCCAATGTGCTTGAAACTGGCATAATTGAAGGAGAAAACTTCTACGCGCCAATTGAATCGGCTAACGAATCTGAAACTGCATCTCAAACAAACTGGAATGTTGCAAAAAATGAAACGGGACAATTATGTAGATCTTGTGCTAATTCCAGTGATTACCTTATACCAATTTACGAAGGAGAAGGTTTAGAGCATCAATTAGAATATAAAATTCAAAAACATATGCCTATACAGGTAATGATTACAATAAAACAAATAAACTGTCAAGCATTCATAGTGATTTAAAATTTGATTTACAAAACCGATACAACATTTGAGCAATTGTTTATCCCCCTGATGAAAAATAATGTTTCATTCTTATTACTCATTCAAACAGGTGTCTTCAACAGATACTTTACCCTTACAATTATGTTATCAATGTGCCTCAACTTTAATAGCATGGGATTCCATGATAAATAGTTGTTTAGAAGCTGATAAAAAACTTAGAGCAATGCAAGAGTCAGTAGAAGAATCTAAAACGTGTGAGGTAAAAATCTTAATTTTGATGACTATTCATTTAGAATTATTCTTGAAAATGAATAAAATTGTGCTTGTGCCCGATAATCACATGAATTTATTTTATTTTGAAGATATTCGAAGATGGTCATTTAGAAGGAGTAACTGAAATTGTAGATTCGGATGATGAGCCATTAATACATAGTAAAATTAAACCGGAAAAAAATAAAGCTACACCGATAAAGAAAAAAATTTTAGTGAGTTAATAATTAGATACCTTATACGAATATACATAAAAATGAATTATTTATAAATTTAATTTATTCGAAATGATAAAAATTATTAAGTAATTTTTATGCTTTTGTTTTTAGTCTAAAACAAAATGTAAAATTGTGCCCTCTAAAACTGATAAGACTGCAACTACTAATTCCAAAGATGAGGAAGATAAAGAAAGGTAAGATTTATATTTTATGTATATTAGTTTTTTAAAAAAAGAAAAATATTATTATTTTCCATACAATAATTTACACACATATGTGTGATAAATACTTATCACGAATGGAATTTAATAATATTTTTCTTTTACCCCCCTCCCCTCCCCGTCCCCGTCCCCCCAGAGGTGCAAAGTGTAAATAAGAATTTTTTTTTTATGTCTGTGAATAAATCAAAATAATTTTGAAAATCGATTTGTAAATAATTAATTGAATACATTTTGCACTTCAAATTTTTTTTTTTTCGGTCCACATAATATGTGTGGTTTTTTTTTTTTTTTAAATTTAATTTAACACACCGCGTGAAAAAAAAAAAAAAAAAAAAAATTTCGTACCTGAATTTTTTTAAAAACAAAATATGAAACCTTGTTTTTTTTATTTTATTATTATTATTAAACTCGACTGTTATGTGTATTATTTGATTTGGCATGCATCAATTAATATATATATATATATAAATTGCCTAAGTAAATAATAATAATAATAATGGCCTTTTGTAGTTTGCACTTTTATTGACGCTTATTATTTTACATAGTTAATGGGACTGGTGGTTTACCTTATTCACTTTAACGCGCGTTTCTTTCCCCCCCGCCCCCGCCCCCGCCCTATCACCCTCGTCTTAACGAAACGATTTTATATTTTAATTCTTTTTTTTTTTTTTTTTTTAAATAAATTTACGAAAAATTTTATAAAATAATTGAATTGTGACGACGCATCGAACGCGATTTAACGGTTATTTTCCCCCTCCCCTTATCTGCCCCTCCCCCCGCGGAATTTTTTTTTTTTTTTTTTTTTTTTTTGACTAAATTAAAATTGTAAATATTATTTAAAAATTGTAAAATGGGAAAATAGTTTTTTTTTGTTTTTAAATAGATTTAAAATTTAGATTAATCAACATGATTGTTGTTGTTGTTGTTTAACGTACCAAATTTGTAATTTTTCCTATGGTACGTGAGAATTTATGAAAAGTTTACTATACCCATATTTGTATTGTATATGTAATAACTCTAAATAAGTTTTCCCCTCCCCTCCCCCCCTTTTTTTTATTTTATGTACTGTATATTATGTATTCGAATATGTAAAACTTATTGATTTTAAAAATTAGTTATGTACGTTAACTTTAAAAATGATTTAGTAGTATTTTTTTTTTTTTTTTGATTGTATAAATAATGTAAAAGCGGTAATTGAAAAAATTTTAAACTTTAAAATAGTTTTAAAGTGAAGCCAATAACAATTTTAGTAGCATCGTTTTAATTTTACTATTTGTGGTGGCGGAATAAATAAATAAATAAATGGATTAAGAGAGAAGAAGAGATGGATGCGGATGTGGGATTTCAAGGGGAGATTACCAAAACTGGACGTTTCATTTTACAGGTCGGAACGGAGGATGAAAGAAGGAAAGTGTGAAATTGTAACGAAAAATAAAAAAAGAAAATTTCCCAAAGAAATGGAATCGATATCCGTTCTTGGATCGAACGGAATTTTAAAAAGCATTTACAGATGTAAATTATGCGGACACAAAACGAATCGTAGCAACAATTTGAAAACTCATTTGCAAATACATAAGAGAGTCGTGGCGTACAAGTGCGAGAATTGCGGTAAAAGATATAGGAAAAGTCATGGAGACGATAAGAGTCATTTGACGAGAATGGAAATCGTTATGGAAAACATCGAAGGACAAATTAAGAAATTTTACAGGTGTAAAATATGTCGTCACACGTCGAACAGGAGTAACAATTTGAAAAAACATTTGAAAAGTCACGAGTCGGGAAGGGACGACGAATTTCCCTGCGACGATTGCGGCGGAAAATGTCGTCAGAGTCAAATTGTCAATTATCACGTGAAAGAAATCGAAGTCGTGACGACGCGTGACGGGAAGGGGAAAAGTAAAAAATTATTTTGTTGTAAAATATGCGGGGAAAAATTTGGACGAATGATGAATTTCAGATCTCACATAACGTCACACAAACCCATAAACATATTCGTGTGCAAACTTTGCGGAAAGGAATACCTGTGCGAAAAAGGTTTAAAAGAACATTCGTTGAGTGCTCACGGGAAAATCGATGACGGGGATGTTGATGATAATGATAATGATAATGATGATGGTGGCGGTGCGCCTTTGAAATTCCCTTACAAATGCGAATATTGCGATCAATTGTTTCCCGAGAAAATTATATGCGACGAACATAGGCAAATCCACGGAGGAGAAAAACCTTACATATGCACGATTTGTAAATCCGCGTTTCGAACTCAAAGCTCTCTTTATTTACACGCCGAAATTCACATGAAAAATGTTTAGCTAAAGTTTTTCCCCTTTTTTCTTTTTTTTTTTAAACTCGAGAAAAAAATTTTTTATGTATGCTATAATTAATAATGTAATGTTGAAACGACAATAAAGTTGTTGTTCCCGAACGTGTTTTGGTTTTCACCGTTTGTTTTTTTTAGGAACGTTCTCAGGATTGGGGATTTCGATATCGATCTTTTCCTGGAAAGTGAATCGTTTCGTGATAATAAAAATAATAAAAATAATAAAAAATTGCTACCACGACGTAAAAATAAAAAAAATGGGAGACGGAAATCGAGTAAAAGTGATACGATCGAGATCGGCGAAAAGGATTTGAGCGATTTGATTGACGACGAAGACATTGATTCGATTATACGAGAAGCCGAAAGGCTCAGAGTCATGAAAATGTCCGGCGGTTTATCATCGTGGAAAAGAATCAAATCGACGCCGTACGTGGAATGTTTTCTGTGTCGGAAAATAATGGGGAAAACGAATTTGTCCACGCACATGAAAACCGAACACGATTGTTTCGAAGGGGGAAACCCGTTTGAAAAAAAACTCGTGAGTTGTCAAATATGCGATAAAACGTTCGGTAGTAAAAGTTTTCTTCACAGGCACGTTCAAAGCGTTCACGAAAGGATAGTCAAAGCCAAATGCGACGTGTGCGATAAAACGTTTACGGACACGTCCAATTACAAGCAACACTTGTTGATACACGCGGGAATCAAATCGTACATGTGTCAAATATGCGGAAAGGGATTCGTTCAACCGCAGGGATTGCGAATGCACATGCCCTCTCACTCGTCCGAATATCCATATTCGTGCACGTTTTGCCCGAAAAAATTCCGGAGAAAACAACATTTCGAATTGCACACGATGAAACACGCGGGGGGAAATAATAATAATAAATCGCATCAGTGCGAAGAGTGCGGGAAATTTTTCAACGTTAAAAACGAATTGAGTATGCACAATTGTTGGATACGTGGAAAAGAATTGTGGCTCCACCCGTGCCCCCACTGCGATAAAGGTTTCAATCAATTGTCCGGATTGAGGGCGCATTTGAAAAATCATCATCACGCGTAGTAGTTTTCCCGATGTCTAACTACCTGCCTGCCTACCTACCTACCTAACGTAATGATATTTTTTAAAAAACCGTTAAAAATCATGGATATAAATATATCTTACTACTTAGTACTTTGGCACCCACACACACACACACACACGTACACAGACACAAACACACTAACCAACCGGTTTTCGATTTCATACAACGGTTCACTAAACCAAAGCAATTGCTTAGGTTGGGTTATCAATTTTAACGTTTGTTTTACAGGAAACCTATTGTTAGAAAGAATACGTCAAAAAAAAAAAATACAAAGGAAAAGGACAAAAAAATTATTATTAAGGATGGGGATGAGGTTGTCGATGATGATGACGTGGTAAATGAATTATTGAAATTTAAAACGGAGACGACGTTGAAGAAAAAGAAACAAAAAAATAAAATGAGCGTTGACGGTGACGACGACGTTCACGACAACGACGACGGGAGGGGAAATTTGTCGAAACTCGATAAGAGAGACATTATGGAAATATTATCATCAGTCGACGACAAACCTTCATCATCGCTTATATGTCACTTGTGCGCGAAAGAATTTAAAAAAGTGCACCTCCTTCACGCTCACATACGTCGCGTTCACGAGAGAGTCGTCGTCGCGAAATGCGACGTTTGCGGACGTGATTTTCGCGATGCATCGAATTATTCGAGTCACATGAAAATCCATTCGGAAGTCAAATCGTACGTTTGTCAAAATTGCGGCAAGTGTTTCGCACAGCTCCAAGGTTTGAAAATACATCAGAGAACGCACACGTTGAACTACCCGCATTTGTGCATGGTGTGCGGGAGAAGGTATCGGACCAGGCAACATTTGGATCAACACGCGTCCGCGCACACGGAAGAAAGGCCCTACGAGTGCGAATCGTGCGGAAAATATTTCAAAACGAGACTTCATTTGAAAGCACACAGTTGGATTCACAGCGATAAATTTCGTTACTATTGCGATTACTGTCGGAAAGGTTTCAATAATTCGAGTCATTTGAAACTCCACGTGAAAAATCATCACGTCAACGTGAACGTGATACAAGCGAGAATCGAAACGGTGGGTCAACCCGAGCCCACGATCGTGGAATTAGTATTGAAAAACGAAGACATGTGAAATTATTCTTGTTCCACTTTTCTTTTATTTTTATTTATTTTATTTTTTATTTTTTTATTTTTTATTTTTTGGAAAAAGGCGCGAAAGGTTGTCATTCGAAAGAGAGAAAAAAAAATTTTATATATATATAATGGAAAAGTTAAATAAAAATTATATGTATGTCTATACTTGTAATTATTATGATGAAAATTATTATTATTATTATTATTATTTTATAAGAATCATCGACGCGAATTTTTTTTTTTTTAATAAACGGGTAGAAATGCTGCGAACGAACGATTTATCGAATCGAATAAGTTTTTTTTTTTTTTTTTTTTGTGAATTTTTTTAAAAGTTTTGTGTTTTAATATTAAATTATTATGATTGATTGATTGATTGATTGATTGATTGATTGATTGATTGGTGGGGGTGGGGTGTATGTTATACTATTAAAAGGCAAAGAGGAAAAGAAAAGAAAAGAAAAGAAAAAAATCGAATGCAATGGTATTCATTACACCCCCCTCTTTTACAGGTGCGTGTCAACGTTTGACGAGAAAAATAATTACGCGGAAATAAATGATTTGACCGTTGGACTCGTTGGGAAAACAATTGAAAATGTTCATGATAATGATGATGAGGACGAGTTTTTATATTGGCTCGACGATAATAAGACGTCGAAAAAAAATGGGATAATATGCGATTTGTGCAATAAAAGACTCGTCACGAAGCAGGGATATGCGAGACACATGAAAAATCATTTGGGTGACAGGTCTCACATGTGTCACATATGCGGTAAAAGTTTCATTGAGAAAAAAGACATTTCGCGTCACGTGAGAGAAGTTCACGATAAAATCAAAAGGTACAGTTGCGAATATTGCGGGAGATCGTTCGCGACGAAAAACACGAGAAACGATCACAGAACGATTCACACGGGAGAAAGAACCTACGTTTGTCACATTTGCGGTAAAACATTTAAAACGGCCAATTGCGTGTACGTGCACAGGAGATCGCACACGGATTACGCACCTCACAAGTGTCACTCTTGCAACAAATCCTTTCGCACGAGGCAAAGGTTAAACAATCACGTGGCCATACACACGGGCGAAAAACCCTACGGATGTCAAATTTGCGGTAAAAGATTCATAACGAAATCTCAATTGAATGGTCACATGGAAATCCATTCCGTCGACAGACCGTACACGTGTTCGCACTGCGGAAACAAATACAGCGTTAAAAAATATTTAAGGGTTCATTTGAAAACGCATCATCCGGAAATTGAAAATCCAGTTTCCGGGAATTTGCAATTTTGACGAGGGATTGAAATCCCTCGCGTTTTCCACGTGACGATAATGAAATGCGTGTTATCAGTGCAATAAACGATCAAGTTTTACTTTTTGTTTTTTTTTGTTTTTTAAATGTTGGCAGCCTTACAACCCGGTCGTGAAATTACGTGCAATAATTTTTTTTAATTGTACTTAATAAACAGAAAATTTTTTAGCCTTAGGTTTTTGTTCGTTGTTGTTTTGTTTACATTAAATTGTTTTGAATTTTTTGTTGTCCTTGTCGTTGTCGTTGTCGTTGTCGTTGTTGTTGTTTTTGTTGAGTTTGTTGTTAGGGTACCGTGAGTATGAATTGAAGATTTGTTTTGCAGGTGGAAAACTTTACAACTCGATCGAAAGTCTACGAAAATATTCCCTTGGAAGAGACTTCGGGGAAGTTGCGTTTATTGTTCTTATACGTGCGAAAAACCTTTCGATTTAGCCGATCATTTATTTCGAGATCATTCTCTCGATATACTACATTGCGAACATTGCGATAGGATTCAATGGGGTAACAAGGGAAAGTTTATTAAACACGTTCAAAGTCATACGTCGTCGGCAAAACAACAATTCAAATTGTGTCGTTGCGAATGCGGGAAGTTTAAAAGTGATGGATCGATTTGGGATCACGTGGTTCGAATACACGGCGGAAAATGCGTTTTGTGCGAGAAAAACTTGCTGGAAAAATCCGAGTTTGAAAATCACGTGATAACCGAACACAAAATCAAAAGGGGAAAAGTTAAATCGAAAAATTTGAAAAATTCGGAAAAATATTTCACGTGTCACCTTTGCGGTAAACAATTCAGTCATTCCACGGGACTTTCCTATCACCTCAAACACGTTCACGAGGGTATAAAAGAACACGAGTGCGACATATGCGGTAGAAAGTTCGCTTTGAAAGCCGCGAGAGAAGATCACAGGAGGATACACACGGGTGAGAGACCGTTCGTTTGCACGACTTGCGGTAAAACGTTCAAAGCGAAAGCATCCCTGTACATCCACGGGAAAACTCACACGGATTCCTTTCCTCACTCGTGCGCGTACTGTTCGAGAAGGTTTCGATGGAGGCAACAGTTGTTGAGTCACGTCACGACTCACACGGGTGAAAAAAAACACTTTTGCGACGAGTGCGGAAAAGGTTTCGGTGTGAAAAACGATTTGACTCGTCACAAATTGGTGCATTCGCAAGAGAAACCTTTTCTGTGCTTGACGTGCGGCCTTTCGTTCGGTCAAAAAAGATATTTGAAAAGTCACGAGAAAACGAGGCACAAGAAAGAAGAATCGAAATGAATGTGTCTCTCTCACTCTCTCATTCTCTTTATCTATCTATCTATCTATCTTTTTTTTGTACTTAACATTTAACTTTCTGTATGTTCTGTATCTACCTGATTTTTTTAACTTTTTTTTTTTTTTTTTTTTAAATGATGCAATGCCTGTCACTCGTAATTACTATTATTGTTATTATTTATTGAACTTATGTTGGAAAGTGCAATGCCTAAAGGAAATGCAAAATATACTTTCGAAACAAATTTATATGTATAGTGATAAAGAAGATTATTATATCGTAATGTTATTACTATTATTATTAATATTCTATTTAAAATAAACGTGGAATTAAGTTCCAAGTGTCGTCATTTTGTTGTCGTTGTTGTCGTTGTCAGAAACGGTTTATGGTAAAAGTACAAAAATGTAAAATTCAAAAATCATAATTTTAACTAATAAAAAAAATTAAAGCAATCATGATACACGTGCATAAAAAAAAAAAAAAAAAAAAAAGAAGTTTTTTTAGACCTTATATTATACTGAGCCAAGGTCCAAATCTTACAGGTTGGAGGAACAAGATGAAACTGATAATGTGATGACGAACGAAACGGAAGAGCCGACGGATTCAGATGAGAGATTCGATGAAGAAATCAATTCGGAGGAATTGAATGAGAAAAGAATAATTGTCTGTCAGGACGGTGAGACTCCGTTGGAAAACACCGCGGGGGCGGCGGCGGCGGCGGCGGCGGCGTACACGGTTTTCGAAATTGAATATATCGAAGTGAGCGATAAGGAAGAAACGAAATCGAAAGACGAAATCAAATGCGTCATGAGAGATTTATCGGGGAATTTAATGCAATTGAAAATAGAAGATGAAAAAAATTCGAGTCCTCCCGTGACGTATGCAAAACCCAAAGATTCGATAAAATGTCCGCTTTGTAAAAAAGTCATATCGAGGAGTTTTTCCATACACCTGAGAACGGATCATAGGAATAATTTCGATCAAACGAACGCGACGACGTGTAATCTCTGCGGGAAAACGATAGCCTCGCTCCACAGTTACATAAGACACGTGAAACTCGTGCACGAAAAACTAAAAGAATTCATATGCGACACGTGCGGTCGGTGTTTCGGAGAGAAATCAAAATTGAAAGAGCATTTTAGAATACACACGATGGAGTATCCGTTCGAGTGCAACACGTGTGGGAAAAAAGTTCGAACGACGGGCTCGTTGAGATCTCATCAAAAGCTACACTACGACAGCAAGGTGCTCAAGTGCGATTATTGCGACGAGAGATTTCGATTCAATCAACAGAGGATTCATCACACGAGACGGCACCACACGAAGGAAAAACCTTTCGCGTGTCAATTGTGCGATAAAAAATTCGAAGTCAAACAAGAGCTCAAACGTCATTTGTTCGTTCACACGTCGGTTAACAGTTTCGAATGCGATTATTGCGGAAGGAAATTCAAACAAAAGAGATATTTGTTAAATCATCTTAAATCACATTCGGAATTGCTTTTGGTATTGAACCAATGACAACAAAAAAAAAAAAAAATTGAATACTAAAAAACAAAACAAAAAAAAAAAAAAAAAAAAAAACCCAAAGATGAATGAATAAAAATATCTTTAAAAAGTAAAAAAAAAATGCGTTGGGCATGTGCGTGCGTGTCCGTGTGTGTGACGGCAATGAGTGAAACGATTGACTTAATCTTTCAGGTATCGCTCGTGGATCCTCTATCAAGAGAATTCAAAAAGTGAAACTCAAAACATCGAAGTACTTATATCTCTCCCTTTACAAACGATGATTAAAGAAGAATCGTCGAATCGAGAGTCGGAAAGGAACGGAGAAGAATCCGACGGAGGAGGAGGAGGAGGAGAGTGTGACGATGATAAAAAACAAAAAAGGAAAAGGAAAAGGAAAAAGAAATTGTTTAACATGAGATCGTCGTCGTCGTCGTCGTTGAAAAAACCCGGGAAATTCAAATGTGATAAGTGCGAAAAGATTTGCACGACGGAGAAAAATCTCGAGAGACACGGGAAAACACACGAGAGGAAAAAACAATTCATATGTCACTTGTGCGGAAAAGAATTCAAACACAATTACGCGTTGCAAAGACACGTGAGAACGGTTCACGAGAACAAGAGAGATTTCGAATGCGATTTGTGCGGGAAAGCGTTCATGGAAAAAAGCGTGAGAGACGATCACAGGAGAATACACACGGGAGAATGTCCCTACGTGTGTCCCACGTGCGGGAAAGCGTTCAAAACTATGGCGTCGTTGTGCACGCATAGGAAAATACACACGGATTCGTTTCCGCACGAGTGCACGTTCTGTCCGAAAAGGTTCCGATTCAAACAACAGCTTTTGGGTCACCTGACCATGCACACCGGGGAGAAAAAACATTTTTGTGATATTTGCGGAAAAGGTTTCGGCGTTCGGTGGGATTTAACCCGACACAGGCCGATACATAATAAATCGAAGGATTTCGTTTGCGCGTTTTGCGGAATGTCTTTCACTTGTAAAAAATACGTTCAAAGACACACCAAATCGCATTTGAAAGATCAACAGGGGGGTGGTGGTGGTGGTAAAAACGTGGTGGAACAGCAGCAACCCATGGAATCTTCGAATGTCGATTTGTCAATGCCGGTACCGGTTTCTCTAACAGTTCCTTATTTAATTTTACCAAACCAAACTGAACCTAATATATGCGTTTAGTTTTTAATTTTTTAATTTTTTTTTTTTTTTTTTTTGTTTTAAAGTTGATGATATAAATAATGAAATAAATAAATATTTATTTTTTCATAACCTTTTTTTTTTTTCTGAATTCTTTTCAAAATGATAATAATAATAATAATAATAATAATGAAATATCCATATCTTGGTTAAACCTGGAAAATCGCGATTGATAAATTTACGAAGAGTGTTCTAATAAAATTTAATGTAACGGAAGAAATCGTTGAGGCCTTATCTGAAATAAATTCGACCTTGACGTTACAGGTTGTCGGCGGCGAGTATCGACTTGAAAACCATGAGAGTGCCGAGGATAAAGAAGGAACCTTTGGATGTTGTTGTTGTTGACATAAAGGAATCAATTGAAAAAAATAGTACCGGGATGGGTGTAAAAAAAGAATCGGATTCGCGGAAATGCGGGAAATGCGAAAAAATTTTTCACAACGAAAAATTATTAAAGCGTCACGAGAAAACTCATCTCGGATTGGGTTTGTTCATTTGTCACGTTTGCGGTAAATCCCTTAATAAAAAAGGAGCTTTGGTACGTCACGTGAGAAACGTTCACGAGGGAAGACGGGATTGGATATGCGATTTGTGCGGGAAAGGATTTCCCGAGAGATCCGTTCGAGAAGATCACAGGCGGACTCACACGGGAGAATGTCCGTACGTGTGTCACGCGTGCGGGAAAAAATTTAAAACTATGGCGTCGCTGTGCATACACAGCAAAGTTCACGTGAACGATTTCCCTCATCGGTGTCCCTATTGTCCGGGTAAATTCAGGTGGAAAACTCAATTGAACGGTCATTTGACGACTCACACGGGAGAGAAAAAGCACAAATGCGACGTGTGCGGGAAAGCGTTCGGAGTGAAATGCGATTTGAACAGGCACAAACACGTTCACTCGAATGAGAAACCCTTTTCTTGTTCCATGTGCGACTATAGTTTTTCACAAAAGCGATACCTCAAAAAACACGAGTTGTCGAAACATGGCGGAAAAGACGTCGCGAAAAATCCCAAACAAATACGCGAATGATTTTTTTTATTTTTCCTACCTTAACCGTTTTTGATCCCGCGTCTCGTCTCGTCTCGTCTCGCCATCCTCCAGGAAAGAAATCCTTTTTCGAAATCCACGAAACGTCACGATTGAATGATTTGTAGTTTCCATTGCTTTCTTCCAAAATAATGTCTGTAAGAAAAAAAAAAAACTCATGAAATTGACATATGGCGAGAGCGTCACGCGAGTTTGATGACAAAATTTTGATTTTAGCAAACGTCACGTCGAGATTTTATTATTAAAAGAGAGAGAGAGAGAGATTTTAGACAATGCGAATCGTCCGTCGTCGGTCATTTTGTTTGTTTACATAAATTAAGCGGAATCCATTACTTGTTTACGTAAAAAAATATGTTTCGATGATTATTTTTTTTTTTTTTTTGTGCGTGTGAATAACTAGAAGAGAGGTTTTTTTTTTTGTAGTAAACATAATTGCGTTTGAAAAAAGGTAAAACATAATTAGTAGTTATTGTTTTTTTTTTGTTTTTTTTTTTTTTTCTCTCCATGTTTTTTATCGATAAAGAACGTTGTCACGTTTTAAAATGTTTGCATCAGAGTCAAAATATATACATAATTGAAATGAAACAAGAAAATATGTTTTTTTAAAATAATAATAATAATAATAGTAATAAAAGGTCGTCAAAAAAAAAAAAACCACCACCAATCAATTTCCTTTTGTTTAGATATTTAGTCACTATAGACCCTTCTCTTTTCCAGATCCGATCTGTTATCTATTCTGGCCGAGATCAAACAAGAAAACGATGAGTTCGAGGATGAAAAGCAAGTTTTAGATTCCGCTCAACTTCATGACCTTTTTGATAGCAGCCAGGAAAAATTGTTCCGCTGCAACATTTGTTTAAAAAGCTATTCGAATATAACGTGGTATGAGGCCCACTTAAAATTACATAATAACGACGATTCCCAAAGAGTTTGCCATATATGTGGGGCTACGTTCGCTACCTTGCAAGACCTTAAAATACACGTAAACACTCATAGCAGAAATAATTCGGCGGTTTACCCGTGTTCCCTATGCGGAAATGTTTTTTCATCGTACGGAGCGAGGAAAAGGCATAAACTCACTCATATCCATTCGGTAGATTGGATATGCGAGTTGTGTAATAGAAAATTCACGCAACATAGTTTTTACATAGATCACATGCTCATGCACAAACTCAAAAAAGAAATGAAAATATTCGTGTGTTCTTGCTGCGGTATAAATTTCGAAAACGAAGATAATTTGTTGGAACATGAGAAAATGCATGCGGAAGAAGAAAACGAAGCTCTCATGAAGGGGGGCGAGGGCGAGGACGAGTGCGAGGATATAACGATTGTCGATAACATCAAAATGGAACCCTCCGATGGATCTCACATGATCGTCATGCCGATCGAAGAAGTCGAATGTAACGGATTGGAAGAAGGGGAAGAAGAGAATGTCGAGTGCGAAACAAGTATATCCGTTTTAAAAGACGAATATGCAATTATAGAAGTGTCGCAAGAGGAAGAAGGTGAATTTATATGCGGCGAATGTGGGAAAGAATGCGCGGACATACAATCCGTTAACTTGCACATGAAGGAACACATGGAATCTGAAATGTTTGAATGTTCCGAATGCAAGCAAGTTTTCAAATACAAACAATTGCTTCTTCAGCACGTTCAAAACGTTCACGAGGGTCACAGAGCTTACACATGTGACGTTTGTTGGGCGACGTTTTCGAGTAAAAATAGTTTGCGTAATCACAGAGTCATACATCTTTCCCTGAGGTACCCGTGCGAAGAATGCGGTAACGAATTTAAAGGACGAAGCGGACTTTATCTTCACAAGCAACGGGTTCACAGGGGTAAAAAAGATTTCGAATGTGATTATTGCGGTAAAACGTTTGCTTTAAAGTGCCAAAGAGATACCCACAGGCGGATACACACGGGAGAAAAACCATTTAAATGCGAAACTTGCGGAGCCGGATTCAGAGCTCAAAGCGGTCTGTACGCTCACAGGAAAACGCACACCGACGAAAGGCCTTACAAGTGCGAAATATGCGGGAAACGCTTGCGATTACCCTACAATCTTCGACTTCACATGAGGACACACACGGGTGAAAAACCATACGCGTGTGATATTTGCGGACGAGCTTTCTCACAACCGGGAGATTGTAAAAAACATAAAAAAACTCATCGTAAAAACGAAGAAAGAAACATACCTGAAAATTTACCCGTTTCCGTTAAAAAAGAAGAGAAAGCGGATTTTGTAGATATAACTTATCTGACATACAATTCCTAATCGATATAAGGATGGTGGTTGTTTGTGTTAATAAAAAAAGTTTGCTTAGTAAAAAATATATGAAATGAATAAAGATTTTAATAATAATAATAATAATAATAAATAAATTTTGATAAATTTTATTTTGGGTAAGCCACCACCAGTTACTATTGCTGATTTACTCCCCCCCCACACACAAACACACCCCCCCCCAGTTACTACAAGTCAAATTATTAAAAAAAAATAACGGTCAAGAACGTTTATTTGTATTGACAATGTTTTCTCTTATTATTTTTCAAATTGTTTTAAATAAAATTTTATGTTTCGTAGGATTTTTTTTTCATACTCTCCTCTTTCCCCCCATTTAAAAAAAAATCCTTTTCTTAATCGTACATCCTCGAAATTGAATTTTTAACGGTAAAAAATTTTGATAAGAGTAAAAAGTCATTGATTAAATTCAATAATTAAAAAAAAAACAAAACGAGTAAGTGATTTTATTTTTATAATTTAAATTTTTCTGTTTATTGTTTAAATAATTCACGTTAGAGATAAAATCATTTTTTTTCCGTTTGAATATCCTTATAAAATTTATTACAGGTCCGTGGAATCATTTAATATCGAAACAAATAATGAAACGAATCAAAAAATTGAGGATAATAGAAAAACTGTACTTCGTATGAAAAATAATTCACAGTTAGAAAAACAAACGAATTCGCAACACGATGAAAATTTGATGATGAACGTCGTAGAAAAATCGGATGATTTTGATATTGGGTCTAACTTTCAAGAAAACGGTTTCAAATGCGATGTTTGTTCGAAAATATTTGCAAAAAAATATAATTTAACGGCACATCACAAAGCTTTACATTCGCCATTTCCGAAAAAACACGTTTGCGACATTTGCGGTAAAGAATTCACGTTTAAATCCAATTATAATACTCATAAATACACACACATGGACATGCCTAGAAATTTCAAATGCACTCAATGCATGAGCGCGTTCAAAAATGCCAGAGGATTAAAAAATCATTTGAAAACTCACGACACGGATAAAAATTTCGTTTGCGAGATTTGCGGTAAAAAATTCACGACGACGATCAATTTAAAAAATCACATGTCGGCACATTCAGATCTTCGACCCCATTATTGCGAAATGTGTCAGGGATCGTTCAAGAGAGCAAGTCATTTGCAACAGCATCAGAAAGAAGTTCACGGGGTTCACCAGTCGAAAATGGCGAGGAATTTTCCTTGCGATTCTTGCGATAATTCATTCACGACGAGCGAACGTTTGGAAGTGCATAAGAGAAAACACACGGGAGAATTACCATTTCAATGTAACAAATGCTGGAGAGGATTCGCGTCACAAATGGGTTTGAACGTTCATCACACTATGGGAGAATGTCAAAGTAAAACGTCATCTTGTAAAATTTGTCACGCGGAATTCAAACCTGGACAAGAGCCTTGCGTTCACGTCAAATCGAAACGTAATAAAATACCCGGCGAAAAGAGTACTCGTTACTCGAAAAAGGAAAAAATACAAAGGAAAGACAAACCGAGAAATTTCGAATGCGAACTATGTAATAAAACGTTTATTTTTAATTGCGATAAAAAGCAACATTTTAGAACGTGTCACACGGACGAACGTCCGTTCGTTTGCGACGAATGCGGAAAAGCGTTTAAAGCTAAAAACACGTTACAAAATCATCAAGCCGTTCATTCCGATAGTCGACCTTATCCTTGTTCGTATTGCGATAAGAGATTTAGAAGGTCTGAACAATTGATGTTACACACGAGAACTCACACGGGTGAAAAACCTCACATTTGTAACTTTTGCGGACGGGGATTTGCTCAAATTGGGGATATGAAAAAACACAGGAAGATACATAACAGAGTTACCTAATAATAATAATAATAATAACAATTGTTTTTTGATAACACTAGTCGAACGCTATGAAAAATTTATTTTTTATCATTGAAATTAATAATTATTTACTTATGTAAATAGACAATTATTTATTTATATTATTTATCTAGTCGCTTAATATTTTATTAAAATATTATGTTAATAATTATTATTATTATTATTATTAACGAATCGTATTTAAAGAAGAATAAATTGAAATTTTTAAAATATTTGTTATGTTTTTTTGTTCCAAAATTGTTTTTATTATTATTTTTTAAATAATAAATGTATTTTAAATGAATTAGAGTCATCATTAAGTTACATTAAGTTTTAGTTATTGTTGTTTTGTTTGACTAATTAGTCTTAATTACATTTTTAAAAAATAGTTTTTTAATTATTTTTTTTTTTAGTTATTTAATTGTTACCCGTAACTGTAAAATTACCAAGATTCTTTTATTATATATATATATACGTTTTTTTTTTTTTTTTAAATATTTATTAAATTATTTGCCTCGAAAAAAAAAAAAAAAATTATTTATTAACATTATTGGAAAATATTGTTGTGTGTTTTACATAAGTAAATAAGTTTTTTGATATCGACAAAAAATAGGATGGTAAACGCGATATTGAAGATACGTTATCATTTTTTTCCAGATACCTAGACCCGGGTAATCAATTTACAACAGATAAAACAAATAATTATGACACCAATTCTACTGAAAACAGGCTCAAGTCATTAGAAGAAGATGAAACGCTTTCTTATGGAGAAACTCAAGTTAATTTAATGAGAGCAATTATATTTAAAAAAAGAACTGTTAATATACCATTTAAAAGATGGGTTAAATGCACTCATTGTTTATCAATGTTTTCGTCGAAAGCTTCCCTAACGAGACATTTGAAAAGGTTTAGTTGTAAAAAAGAATCTAAAAATTTAAGTTCTTTATCTTATTTAAGTCTGAGTGAAATTAAAGAAGCCATTTACGGTTCGAAATTTAAAAGGAAAACAGATGATAAAAATGCCGTACCTGTAATACATGAAACATTTCAAACACGAAAAGACGTAACAACAACCAAGGATTTAGAACCGCCACCACCACCACCACCGCCGCCGGTACAAAATGTCGAGATATTTAATGAAAAATCATTGATCAATTGCGAATATTGTGATAAAACGTTTACACAAAAGAAAACACTCAACGCTCATCTAACAACCCATAGGCGACAAGGGCATTTATGTCCGATTTGTGGAAAACAATTTTCCTATAAGTCATCTTTAGTCTCTCATCAGCTGATTCATCAGAAACCACCCAAAACGCATACCTGTAATCAATGTAACGCAGCATTTACGACCCTCAGATCACTTAGACGACATTATTTCACTCATTATAATTATAAAGACAAAGAATTCATTTGTGAACTTTGTGGTAAAAGATTTGCTTATTCTATGACATTAAAAAATCATAAATTATCACATTCGGAGGAAAGGCCTCACATTTGTAGAATATGTGGTACATCGTTTAAAAGAATGACACATTTGAGAACTCACGAACAAGGCGTTCACGGTCTTCAAGATAACGTTTTACCCAAAAAGTATACTTGTGACGTTTGTCAGAAAAGTATGGTTAAAAAGGAATCGTTGGAAGCTCACATGAAAGAACATACCGGAGAGTTAAATTATCAATGTAAAGACTGTTATAAAAAATTTGCGACAAATACGGGATTAAATATACATATATCGATGGGAAAATGTTATCCACATGTTAAATCGTGTAACGTTTGCTTGAAAGATTTCAAAGGAAATGAAGATGTTTGCGAACACCTCACGGATAAATTACAAAAACGTAAACAAGGAAAATTTGATAGAAAATCAAAAGAAACCAATGAGAAATCATCGGGAAAAAAAATTTCCGTGCCTAGACACATGAAAGAAAGAAATTACGTATGTAAAATATGTGGGAAATTTTATATATATCCTTGTGAGCTCAAAACGCATTTCCGTTTGGCTCACACGGATGAAAAACCTTTTTCTTGCGGAAAATGCGGAAAAGCGTTTAAAACGAAAGCTTCCCTTCAAATGCACGAGGATGTACATAACGATCTTCGACCTCACGAATGCGATCTATGTCAAAAAAGGTTTAGAAAGGCCGAACATTTAAAATTACATATAAGGACTCATACGGGAGAAAAACCACACGTTTGCGAAATATGCGGAAGAGGTTTTGCACAAAAAGGAGATATGAAAAAACATATTATTAAAACTCATAGCAAATCGACTTAAAAACTTTTTCTTTTTGTCTTTTGTTGTATTGTTTTAAAAAAAAAAAAAAAAACTTTTAAAAAATTAAATGTTTACTTTAAAAATTTCATTTCATTTTATTTTATTTTTTTTCTATTAATTTATCCTTATTAAATCACTTTCAAAACCTCCTTTTTTTTAAAATTGCTATAAGTTTTCATAATAAATTTTTTTCATTTGAGATATTAAGAGGGTTAAAGTTTAATTTTTTAGTTTATAAAAAAAAAAAAAAACTCACCAAATTGATACTTAATTCCTGTTGCAGGAATATTGATGAAAAATCGAACCATGTGGATGAAACATTAATTAAAAATGAACTGGATAATGAAGATGAAGAAGAAGAAGAAGAAGATCTTCCGTTAGAATCATTCATTATAAGTAAAATGAATGAAAATGACGAAAATCCAACTGAACGTTTCCAAAACTTATCTGAAATTGAAAAAGAAAAAAAAAAATTAATAAAAAACCGTGTGGAAAAAAAATTATGTGAAAATCGTAAAATTAAATGCACGATTTGTGACGTAGAAATATTAAAAAAATTTTATTTAAGACATTTAAAAAGAGTTCATAATATTAAAACGAAAATAAAAGATAAAAATGATGGAAACGAAGAAGAAAAAGAAGAAAATTTGAATTTGGAAGAGAGTAAAACATTAAATTTATGTAACGTTTTATGCAAGGTAGAGCTTAATGATAGTGATAGTGAAAAGAAAAATGGCGATCGGGTGGGTGGTTTGAAATGTTCTACATGCAATCAAATATATTCAAACGAAATAAATTTAAAAAAACACGTTTACAACGTTCACAAAATGGAAAAAGTCAAATGTAACGTTTGCGATAAAGAAATCAATAAGAAATCATTGGATAGACATATGAAAAGTGTACACAATGCGAAAATAATAAAAGAAAAAAAATCAGTGGCGGAAATAGAAAAAATCCCATGCGAAATCTGTAAGAAAAAATGCATCAATTTAATGAGTCTTCAAAAACACGTGAAAAACTTTCATCAAGCCGAACAATTTAAATGTTCACAATGCGATTTTAAAGGGATTAAAAAACAATTGGAAAAACACATAAAGAAACAACACAACGATGAAGTTTACCAATGTCCAAGATGTAATAAAATATTAAAAACAAAGGGCACATTGAGAGAACACATGTGGATTCACACAGACCACAGGAGATTTATATGTGATATATGTGGTATGAGGTTTAAAAGAACAAGTAATTACCGTGGACACCTTAAGAGTCATCAGGAGAAAAAATTTCAGTGTCAAATATGTGGTAATTTTTTTTTAAGAAAACGTTATTTGGCAATACACGAACAGACGATACATGATTATTATGGTGAAGGAGTACCCCCACAAGAAAAAGGTTTTCAATGTGAAGTTTGTGGTGTTAAACTTAAATGGAAAAATAATTTATTGGCACACATGAGAATACACACAGGAGAAAAACCTTATAAATGTAAAATATGTGGTGATGGTTTTACATGTCATGGTTCACTTAGAACTCACATGTCTAAACATGGTAAGTGTCAATTGACCACCTATAGAATATTACATTTCTAAATAATTTACATTATTAAATAAGTCTTTTTTTTTTTTTTAAATTTTAGCTGTTTGTTCAGAATCTAGTGATGTTTCAAGCATATTTATTCAGCAAGCTTATTTAGATAACAAAACAGAATCAACACAATATTTTGGACCTACTGCACCATCATCCAATTCTGAACAAATCAATAAAATTTAAATAATTTGATGATAAAAATAGAAAGAAAAATACATATTATACTCTATTTCAAATTGTTAAATTATAAATTATATAAAAAAGAATTTCTTTTTAATGTTAAATGCTTAAAAATTTTTGATAGCATAAAAAAATTTCCATTTCAATTTCTATTCAATTAATTATAAGTAAAAGGTTTCCATTTTGATAAAGATACATATTATTTTTTATATAATAATTATAAACGATTACTCACAAATGTAATTATTCACATCAAATAAATATTTTATTTTACTTACAATGTTAAAATCTTCAAAAATAAAATGAAAAAGATTTTGAAATGTAACACACGAACAAGCGATAAAAAATAACTGACATTTTTAGGCTTTTTTGGCGCGCTTTTGTTAGTGTGGCGGTGCATTCCGCTGCCACTTTCAAAGGAATTTTGCATCTTTCGAAATTATCTTCCGTTAATCCGTAAGCATTATTTTCATTGTTTTTTTATTATTATTATTTTAGTTTCGTGAAATCGAAATTTGTGATTATCTTTTTGTTTTGGATTTACGTGTTTAACGTACGGAAAGAAATAGATTGTGATCGATATTGGGTATAACTCTAAAAAATAACGTTTCCAAGGAATTTAGTCTCTTATTGAAAATTGATTTAACAATAACTCATAATAATAATAATAATAATAAAATGGGTGAATCTTTTTTTCAGGTTTCAAAACAACTAAAAAAAAAGAATTTAAATGAAGAAGATGAGGAAAAAGACAAAACGGAAGATTATTTAAAAGCTTTTGATGGTAATTTATATTAGTTTATTTATTATTAAAACATATTACTTGTTAATTTTTTAAATGAATATGAATTATTAGATATAGAAAACATAAAATTAAATTTATTGGAATCATCTGGGATTGAATGCATTTTAGAAGATGCTTCTATACAATTATTTATAATTGATGTAGGAACATGTTCATCAAATTCAATTCATTCTAAAAATGTTAATATAAGGTTTGGAAATTATTTGTAACATATTCTAATTTTATGGAATAAAGTTAAAAATTTTTTTTTTTTTTTTTTTTTAAGGAAAAGCATTAGAGATATAATTGATGAACTTAAAGAAGAAATTACACAAAAAGGAACATTTGCTACATTGTGTAAAAAAGTCAAAGAAGAAATAATTAAAGAAAACAATGAAAAAAATCTATTAAAAAATTTAAAAAAGAATCAACTCAAAATGGAAAGGTTAAAATTAATGATATCGGAATGCAAATCATCAAAAGAAGAAGAATATTATAAAAATAAAGAAATAATTGCAAATTTAAAGGTGAAAAACAAAAAAAAAAAAAAAACGCGCCATTTTTAAAATTACATGAGTTGTAAAATATTCATTTACAAAAAATGTTGTTTTATCATTTACTTTTTTGTTTTTATTTTTTTTTTAAATGTTTATTACTAATCATTAATTTTAAATTATTTGCCAAGCTACTCAGGAGATATTATTATATAAATTTTTTTTTTTTTTTTTTTTTTGAAATCATGCAATTATAATTATTTAAAAAAAGAAAGAATAATGGAAGTTAGAAGTAAAAATTTTCTCATGATTCTTTTGTTAATTTTTTTTTTTTTTTAGTTAATTAATAATTAATTTAACTTTTTTATATATGTTATGTGTATGATTTATATGAAGTGATTATTTTATGTACACACTTTTATTTAAAAAACTATTATTTTAAATATTTTAATAAAAAAATACATTTTTTTGAGAATTGCATACTAAAACTATGACAATTAATTTGTAATTTTAGGACAAAATCCATGAGGAAATTGTTAAAGCGAATGCAAAATTAAGATTTGTTGATAAATGGGAAACTGCTAAAAGAAATCAAAATCGATTTAAATGTCAATTAGTCGAAAATGAATTAGAAAAAAAGTTGGATGGTATTTTACAAGAATGTGAAAATGAAATTCGAGTTCATAATGAAATTTGTAATTTTTTGAATCTTGATGAAAAGGTTTTTAGATATAACAATTTTTACATTCGAAAAAAAAAATCATTTCATTCATTTATAATTACTTCTTCTCTTTAGAAGTTACTAAATGAAATTATCGAGTGGCAAGAAAGGTATAAAAAAGAAATGGAAAGTAGAAGTGAAAAAATAAAATTATTACAGCTTAAAAGAAATGAACAGCAAATCCTACTTCGCAATTTAACACAATTGGTAAATATAAGAATATAGTTAGTTAATGTTTTATTTAGTAAAAAAAAAAAGTGTTGTTAATTAAAATTTATGTATTACAGTACGAAGAAAGAAGCAGAGATATAAATAATTATTTAAATTTTAAAGAAAAAATACATCAAGAACAAGAACGAAATCGATACATAAATAAGATGGCAACAAAAATTCAAGCATGGTGGAGAGGGACAATGGTTAGAAGAGGACTTGGCCCCTTTAAAAGAAAAAAGAAATCTGTCAAGGAAAAGAAGAAAAAATAATTTTTTTTTTTTTTTTTGAAATATTAAAATTATTTTTTATAAATATAACATTATATAAAATAAAATTTTTTATTCTTAAGCTCTTAGAGGTAAAATAAACTCCACCCTATTATTATTATTATTATTTATGTTAATATCTGAATAAAAGTTAATTGTTCATTTCCCATTAAAAACTATATTTTTTCGAGTTGACAACATATAAAAAAAAAAGATTTTTTTTTTTTTGCTTTTAAAATGATTTTATAAAATAAAATAAGGAATGGAAAACCATGTAAATTGTGATAAAATAACCTACTCCCCATGATATAGCTCTAGCAGGCTGAGGAACAACAACGACAGCATAAACAATTGTATGTAATATTCTAGCACAAGTAAATACTCTGAATAAATTAATAGCCAAATTAACTGGTGGATCAGTTAATAAAAAGAGCCAAGCTGCAACGATAAACGTTGGAATGTTTTCTAAATCATTCATATGAGCTCTTCGAACTCTTTCAACATCAGGATCATCATATTTGACTTTTGCATTTTTCATTTTTCTGGTATCTTCAGGACTGGAAAAAACCTAAAACATTATATAATCAAGTTTTAAAGAAATATACAATTCTCAATTTAACTTTATTTTAAATTTTAATTTATTTTAAAATAGAAATTTTATTAATTTTAATTATAAAAAGAATTATTAAACACACGTAACAAAAAATTCAATCTAAAACAAAAATTGTGTGTGTGTGTGTGTGTGTTACTTTAAACTTTGAACTTACCAACTTTTTGAATCTGATTCTACCAGTTAACAATGACATCGCCAACATTTTTAAAGCTAAAACACCAACGTAAAAAGCATATGTCCTGAAAACAGGATTATCAAAACTCATTAAATGAGCAACACTCATTTTTTTTTTCTTTTAGATGATGTTCCTGATTGCGTAATTATTAAGAACTGAAACTTGCCGAACTACATTTAATCAGACTAAGGGCAATCAGTCTAGCCAATATTTTAACATTATATAAAGGAAAAAAATTATAATTTTATTATTATTATTGAATAATTCGACGAAAATAATTAAAATTGGGTTTTTAATCATTAAAAAGTAATAATAATAAATTATAGAAAGATAGAAGTTTTATTTTTAAAAAAGTTTATTACTTTTTAAATAAGTATAAAGTCCAGGATGACAACTTTATACGCATTAAGTTTTTAAGTACGTGGAATAAATAATGGCGGGTTAAATATTTAAAAATGCTAAATATTAAAAGGCTACAAAATAAAAGTTTGAAGGCATTTTGAAATTTCATTTCTCATTTTGCATTCTTAATTCCTATCAATAATTTAAAATAAAAATCTTACCAATTAAGTAATATTTTTACATTTGATGTAATATTTTTGATGAATGACCGTATATAACACACGTTTAATTTATTTAATTCCCACTTTCTTTTTTTTAGTTAAATTTAAAATAATTATGATTATTAATTTTTAAACGAAATTTTTTAAAAACAAAATTAAAATTACCTTAAAAAGTTTTGAAAAACAAAATTTCCAACAACAGCCATTTCCGGTTATGACGCCAAAGTTTTTAGAGGATTACCAATAGTACATTCTTCTCTGTGGCCATTTCCTTCAATGTAAACTTTTTAAAATGGCTCCTAAGCCGAAACCTACGGAAAAACAAGGTAAAATATTATTATAAACATTTTTTAGGCGTTCATTAAATTTAAAAAGCACTTTAAAAAATTATAAAAGCATTACTATTTTAAATTTTATTATTTATTTGTAATTATTAAGTATATTTAAACAAGAAATTTCATGCAACTGCCTGCCACATGGCAGAGTTTCGTGTTTACTTGCTTATGTAGAGTATCATTTACTTTTTCGATATCATCTTTAATTTTTTAGTAGTTATTATGTAGAAATATTTTAGGAATTCTATAGTTTTTTTTATAAAGAAACGAAGATTTAAGGTTAAACATCATACTTCCAAAGTTAAATCTTAACGTATTGCAGATGTCATCTATGGGCAATCACATTTCATTAATAATTTAATTATTTTATAGTTTTCAAAATTTATTTGTTTGTCTTATTTAAGTATTTAAATTTGCCTAAAAATTATTTATGATGAATTTTGAGGGAATCTCTCTGATATGCTTGAAGAGAATTTACTAAAACTGATTTTTTATTATACATGTAAGGTCCTGTCTACTTTTTGAGTATTAATAATTAATAATGATTTTTTTTTTTTTAATTTAATTTAGGCGCTGGAGATAAAAAACCAGCAGGTGGAGGTGATAAAAAAGCTCAAGGTAGTGAGAAAAAACCCTCTACTGCTGGTGGAGATAAAAAACCTCCTCAAGAGAAAAAGCCAGCAGCTGGAGGTGACAAAAAAGGTGAACCATCTACTGCTAAGAAAGCACCTCAAAATGCTCAAAAGCAGCAACCTCCTAAAGATAGTCAGAAAAAACCTAATGCAGTAGCAGACAAAAAGACAGGTGGAGGTGATGCTAAAAAAGCTGCTCCTCCAGCCAAAAAGCCAGCTTCTGCTTCAGGAGACAAGAAGGCAACACCTGCTGCTGCTGCTGCTGGTGGTGGTGGCAAAAAAGGTGCTCCAGGAAGTGGAGACAAAAAACCAGCTTCTGCTGGTGATAAAAAACCTGCTGATAAGAAACCAGCAGAGAAGAAACAAGGTGCTGGTGATAAGAAACCAGCTGATAAAAAGCAAGGAGAAAAGAAAGCTACTGTTGACAAGAAACCAGCTGAGAAAAAACAGGGAGCGGGTGACAAAAAACCAAAATCTGCTGGTGATGATAAAAAATCAGCTAAACAGCAAGCAGCTCCTGACAAAAAGCCCAAGTCTGCTGGTGACAAGCAAGCAGCAGGAAAAGATAAAAAACCAGCTGTTGGAGAAAAGAGACCAGCTTCTGGAGCTGATAAGAAGGCTGTTAAAGATAAAAAACCACCAGAGAAAAAACAAGCTGTTGGAGACAAAAAACCAGGGGATAAGAAACAAGCAGACAAAAAACCAGCTGGTAAAGATAAGAAACCTGGAGACAAAAAGGTTCCAGTCGTAGAAAAAATGCAAGAAAAGAAAGTTGCAGGATCCAAATCAGCTCCACCACAATCGAAATCTGCTAAAGCAACAAAGAAACCTGCATCTGCTCCACCTACATCAGCTCCACCAGCCAAAAAAGCTGCAAAGAGTAGTTCTGCTGCTTCATTCCAAAAGACAGCAGCTAAACCTTCTCTAATGAAAGATTCTAAAGCAAAAGGTAAAATAATCATTTAAAATTTTTTATTATTTTACTTTTTTTTTTTTTTTTTTTTTTTTTTTTTATAAAAATATTAAATGAAAATTTTTTATTGCAGTTACAAAACCCCCAAGCGCAAAATCATTGTCCAAACCGATTTCAAAAACATCAGCAAAAGTTTTATCAAAATCTAAAACAAGTATGAAATCGGCAGCCACTAAGAAAATAGATAAACCTAAAAAGAGTTCAGCTATGAAAGGTCTAAAGGGTAAAGCTGCAAAATTAGCTTTGTTAAAAGCTTTGAAAACTAAAAAGAAGGTAGGGTTGATATTATGGAAAAAAAAAAGAGAGAGAGAGAGGAGGAGGATTTTAATAATAATAATAATAATTATTATTTTTATAGGTTATGAAAGGAACTAATTTAACTAAAACTAGGAAAATAAGAACTTCCGTTCACTTCAGAAGGCCGAAAACATTCAAACCTCCAAGAAATCCAAAATACCCTAGGAAATCAGTACCCCGAAGAAATAGGTAATTTCTTTTTATTTAGTTTTAAATGGGAGTGGGGGGGGTGGGAAAGGAAACTTACAAATCGATTCAAATCTCATTTTAAAAAAAAAAAAAACAAATTACAGAATGGATGCGTTCAACATTGTTAAATACCCGTTGACGAGTGAAGCTGCTATGAAAAAAATCGAAGACAACAACACATTAGTCTTTATTGTTCACACGAAAGCGAACAAGCGACACGTTCGGGCGGCCGTTAAGAAATTATACGACGTAGAAGTTGCTAAAGTGAATACGTTAATTAAACCGGATGGTAAAAAGAAAGCATACGTTCGTTTGACTAGTGATTACGATGCATTAGATGTCGCCAATAAGATAGGCATAATCTAAATGATTTTAATTTACTTTAAAAACGAATTTCAATAAGTACTGCGTACTTCCGTTTGTAATTACTCACGATGTGTGTTCTTCAATGGTTTCTGTCTCCTCCTTGATATTTGATTCGGAATTATTTTATTTTTATTTTTATTATTATCATCACTAACACGATTATTATTATTATTATTATTACTTTTTTTTTAATGTAAAACAAGCCAAAAAGAAAAACGAAATTTGGCTACCTACTACTATTGTTTCTAACACTGTAATTTTTTTTTCTCTCTATCTCTATCTCTTTCTATCACATTGAGATTGTTTTATTAAAAAACGATGTAATTAATTAATTAAACGTTTTTTTTTTTTTACTTTAAAAAGAAAAAGTTGAAGAAATTGCATTAAAAGTAATTACATGTATTTTTTAATATTTTGAATTGTTTACAAATTTATTTCTTTATTTAAAAAAAAAAAAACTATTTAACCTATACTATTGAAACTATAAGTCTTCTTCCGGTAAACAAGAATCTTCCAATTCGTTTTTAAACGGATAATAAACTTTAAATGAAAATTTTTCTCTCACAAAGGATCCCTACAACGATACACGAATGAATGAAAAACAATTAAAACGATTAAGAAAGAAAAAAAATTTAAAAATTTTCACTCATCACTTACCGGACTCGTAACGGTACAATCTAAATATTTTTCGGTAAAAGATATCGATTGATCGGAAACGACAATTAAATCCGGAAGTGGATATAAATCTAACGAATGTGAAAAACTCCAATAAACAGGAAATGACACTAACGACATCGGAGCAAGCGTTCCCTGACTTATAATCGTTTTCGTAAACTTGAAAATAAAAGAAATCATCACACGATTATCATTAATAACCATTTTTTTTTCCTTGTAAATTTTATTCGAAAGTGAAGTTATTACGTGATTAGAAATATTTCCACCATTGTTTGGAAAATGAATCGTACTCCTACATAATTTAGTAACGAGATTTTCCCGGAAAACAATTATTTCCTTCGTGCAATATTGTAACCGACACGGATTCGTTCCCAACGTTAAATACGGAATTTTAGATATGAGACCTTTAACTAAATTTTTAGAAAATGGCGGCCTGGAAATTATTATAAAATTATTACAATGTAAAACAAATACTAAAATACAAAATGAATGATTTACGAACCTTGGTAGTATTCTAGGAGAGCCGACATCAAAAGGACCGGGAACGAGAACGAATTTACTCGTGTTAATTATATTTTTATAAGATTCTAATAAATTACCCAATTCGTTAAAACCGTTAATTAGTTCCGAACAATAGTTTGGTCCCTTGGGAGACGATATAAAATTCCCTAATAAAACAAATGCGTATGGAGGATATTCGGAAAAACCATCGAATAATATTTTTAATTTTTTTAATACCTAAAACGAAATACATAATTTAATTAAACCCCATTTAATTTTTACTTTAAAAAAAAAAAACAAGTTTGATTCGAATAAAAACCTCAGGTTTATCTAACCAGACATCGGATATAAAAACAATCATTTCATCTGGATTCTTTTCTTCGATTTCTTTTAATGCTTTTGAATTTGATAAAGAATATAATGAAGGTCCACCGAAAGTGTTCATATCATCAAAAAACATTCTGATAATTAATAAATACTATTAAATTTAAATAATGCATTGTTAACGATAATAATTTATTCGATTTGTTAATCCTACCTTGATTTTTTCGAAGATTCTGGTAGTGGTAAACCGAATTTTGATACATAAAAAACTTTGTCTTCATAACAACCTTCTAAAAACACAAATGAATGTTCTGTAAAAAGGCCATCGGAAAATATGGCTTCTGATATATCAATATCCAATGTTCCAGTGTCATCTTCGACTGCATAATTACCATCAATTTTTTGAACAAGAAGACCAAGAATCACAGCATAATCTGAAACAACAATAAATTTAGTATCAATATTACTTTTTTGATAAGTTATTTAAAATTACATTTTAAATATTTCAAATATTTAATTAATATTTTGTTCATCGTTACCAATTTTTTCAGTCGCACAAAGAAACCATTCAACTGTTTTAAATATGAATTGTACATTTTTACCATTTATCGCAAAAACTTCTTTCAATAGATTATTTCTCAATGTTTTTTGAATTAATGAAGTATATCTGAAATATATATATTCTTATAAGTTAACTAATTTTATTAAATGATTGCTTTAAAATTAAGTAATCGAAAAATTGGATTAAAAACTATTCAAAACTGTGTCTACATAATTAAATGAGGTATCAATTGAAATTAAATCAATAAAAAAAATCAATCATACATTCTTTTTTTTATAAAAATTTTTGTGGCAGCATCTGCAAAAATCCCTTTTTTTAAAACTGTATCATCTTTAATATATTTTTTCTTTTCTCTATTATAAATAAAACAAGGAACTTCGAATGCATTGATAACATTCCAAGTAGTTTCAGAGCTTGGTCTTTCTAATAAGCTTTCCTGAAAACAATTAATTTTATGTTTAAAAAAAGAAAACAATAATTACATTTCACAAATTAGCAACAACCAATAATTTTGACATCTACTGTACCCGAACATTATAAATTACCTTATAACATTGTTCAATTTGTTCTTTATTAACTGTCGGTGATTCTAAAGTTAATCCTCGAATTTGATCCGACAATTTATCTAATATTTCAATTCTTTTTTGTTGTGACAAATTTAAAAATTTCTGTGCCAAATAATCGGCTGCATCACTAAAAAATACATCAGATTTTTAAAATTACTCTGAAATCTTTATTTATCACAATATAAATGAATATAATTTTTAATGGAGAAAATTTTATTTACCCTCTTATTAAAAAACCGTGAAGTTTTAAAATTTTTATAATCCATTTCCGTATTTCTTTTAAATCATTCATTTCTTGTAAAAAAAATTATATATCATTAATGAAAATAATATTTAAGGTAACATGTATTTTCCCGCCATTTTCCTTTGAGAGAATTTTATTGCAAAACATACGAAAGCAGACGATATGTAAACAAAGCCTTTTAAGAATCTTAAAACATAAAATAATTAATTTTCAATTGTACGATGAACATTTAATTAATAAAAATGTCTTTCACACGGGATTTACGTCGAATAACTCATCCGTATTATTTATTTAATATATTTTTATCTTTTTCTTATCTTTTAGCTAAGAAATTACCCTACGTTTGTAGCTATGTATTTATTAATTCAGAGAAAAAATGTGAATTTGATTCTGTAGGTTGACCTATTTAATTTTTTATGAAAACAATTTTTTATTTAATAATGTTTTCTTATTAATTTGCTTACGTTTTATTTCAGCGTGAATCGGATATTCTTTTCTTTTTAATTATTGTTGTTATGATCAGAACGAGAAAAACTGGTAGTGTGACCATGTTAAGTTATTTATCATCTTCGTTTATTTATACAAAAGTTACTAACATGATATTATGGTTCTATGCTGATTTAAGAATGGGATTATTATACACAGTATTATTTGTGTGTAAGTATTCAAGTAATAATAAAACAAAATTTTTAAAAGGTTATTTATAATATTTTAAAAATTATTATTTATTTAAAGTGGTCGGAATATTTTTCCCCGAGCCGACTTATTCGGGTCCACAAAATGTGACATATTTTAGAGGGCTTCAAGGCCTTGAAGAAGAGTTAGAAAGAGACAAACAAGTTAATTGGCTTGTTGCTTTTTACACAATGTGGAGTCCATCATGTAATAATTTTGCTCCAATATTTTCCCAATTGTCTGGAAGGTTTGATAATAATTTGTTTAATTTTTATTTTATTTTAAATGTTAAGAAATTTGGGACACCTAATTAAATATTTTTGTAGCTATCATTCTGAGTATTTAAGATTTGGTAAAGTTGATGTAGGAAGATACCCGGATGCTGGAAAAAAATATCATGTCAGTGATTCACCTGTAAGCAGACAGTTACCTACACTTATCCTTTTTCAAAATGGAAAGGAAACAATTCGAAGACCAACTGTAAATAGTAGTAAAACATTACAAAAGTTTTTTTTCTCAGAGGTAAGTTATATTAATAACTTTTTGAACCTCTTAAGTTTAAACATTTGTTTCAGTTATAACAAATTAGTTTTTCCAATTTAAGGTAAACAAATTTATGTCAATAATAAAATTTTTTAATATTTTTTTTTTTAACAGGATAATATAAGAGTTACATTCGATTTGAACAATTTAAATGAGCAAAGTAAATTAAAATCAAACCAAGGGAAAACTTTGATTATTTTTAAAAAGAACCAGTGAAGTTATTCCACATGACCAAAAATTCAATTATAGTGTTTTAAATTATAAGTTACATTATGTTATATTTTTTAAGTATAAAAAAAAAAAATTTATT